TCCCGTAAGGATCATTAACACATTTACGTAATCCGGCCGTGTGTATGCCTGGCCGCTCCTCCCTTAATATGATAATGACCTCGTCTGTCTTAACGAATTACTACACTGTAAACAACTTCCTCGACAGAACTGGACATTTACTGAGTTTTATCGATCAAGTTGAATTTTTTTACGGGAAGTCGGTGATTGTGTTAAGGTGGAGGCTGAAGAGAAGGGACGAGGTGGTTGGCTGAGATCTATAAAACTGGACTCATGATGACCCGATAGTCGACAGTTGGATTCCCGTGGCCGGTCGATTAAGTGAGGCACCCACCGTTGACCCAGCTGCAGAATGGGTGCCGGTACCTAACTTTAACAGAGAGGAAAGTGAAAGGCGACAGACAATAGCACCGGCCACGCTGTCTCCTTGTATACAGTTCAACCTTCAGTTTGTTGTATCCACAGTGTCCCCAAAGTGACTGTCAGGACTAGGGGAAGTCAGTCACTTTCACTTTCCAATGACGACATAAAGATATATTAATAAGTTTAATCACTCGTCTATGAATGCCTGTTACTATAATTATGTATTTATTTACCTCCATTTCACGATATTTTGACTACAGATATCTTCTTGCTATTGCAGATCACATGAGTGTAGACGTCGCAAGGTGATTGGTTCAACGAGTCATCGTACCACAAGTTCATTGGTTCAACAAGTCATAACGATACAAGATCGTCATCCCCGCTTCACGGATCACAACAAGACCAGCATGTGACGTCAGGATATGGGTCAACTTCCTTCACCCACTCACGCACGTTCCCACACTGTTAATTACTACCTTCAAAGTTTACTGTTAAGACAACCACAAAAAATAGTTAACAGTTTACAGGCCATAGTCCCTCCCCTTGACACGGAGTTTAGTGGTAGATGATGGTAGGTGGTGGGAGGTGGTGATAACAATATATTGTGGTACTTCTAACAAAACAGGAATCACCAATGTTGGATCCCACTCCCAGTAGTATGTGGTGGTAGTGAGGTACTCTTCCCTGGCAGGTAAGGGGGTTGAAGGTGGAAAGTTGATCGCGCTCCAGCCGCTGTGATTAAACACGAACGAGAGAGTGAGAACCTAGAGATGAGTAGTGAATGGGGTGTAAGTGAATGAAGAGAAGACTACGACACTCACTCACTCACCCTCTTCACAGCTGGAAAACAAAATATTTACACTATTATTGAACGCCAACCCGACAGTAACCACCACTACCAACACACAATGTAAATAAACGATAAATTAAAAATGAAATAACATCAAGGATTATATCACATCAATGCCAATATGACTTCAACTTGCTAGAGATATTTTTGTTTCAATCTGTTTGAAAGAAAATTATATAAACCTAATATATATAGATGGATAATTACTGTGTTATAAGAATATCTATAACTTATGCAGAACAAAAAACACAAGTCAATAATAGATAAGTATACTGTAATAGTGACAATAATAAATAAGAAAAAATTATTAAAAAATGAAGCTAAAACAAATAATTATGCTTATAAATAACATTAGATTTATAGGGAATAATAAGTTGTTAAGTTAGAACACTGTACTACGCTATGGAGACAGCCCAACGACCTTGAATTCACTAACACCACTAATGACGAAAAATTATCTCAAACTAATTACTATTTTAAAACAAACACACACACACACACACACACACACACACACACACACACATTAGTAGGTAAGTGAAACGTTCAGATAAGAGGTTTAAATTTTCTGACCATCAGCGAGGAAATTTTATGATTGCAGAAGTAAACTGTGCAGTGTCTTAAATCTTGATCACCTTGATGTCTTGGCTCTTGCACGAAATCTTTCTTAATGAGAGAGATTTGTGTGAGAAATCTTTCTTAGTGAGTGAGATCAAGGTGAGAGATCTTTCTTAGCGAGAGATCCGTGTGAGATCTTTCTTAGTGAGAGAGATCCGTGTGAGAGACCTTTCTTAGTGAGAGAGATCCGTATGAGAAATCTTTCTTAGTGAGAGATCCGTGTGACAAGTAGGCAAGTATTCAGGCACAACTCACCAACTCACGAGCCTCCTCCTCCAGTTGGCCGTTTCTTCACTACTGGACTGGGTAAATTCTACTGTGTTATCTGAAAAACTTGGGGGCCACGCATCAATTAGGAGCTGTTTACTACGCACTCAAGTCCTGCTTAGTTCCTGTCACACAGTTGGTTGTGTCATAGACTGTGTACAAAGTAATTAACAGTAAACATGAACCAACCAGATCTAAACTAACCTAAGCTAACCTAACTAACCCTAGCCTAACCTTACCTAACTAACCCTAGCCTAACCTTACCTAACTAACTCTAGCCTAACCTAACCCAACCTAACCTAGCAATCTAAGGTTAGGTCTGTATTCTTCGTCACACACTGAACCTATGTATTATGACCAAATTAGCGAAGTACCTTTATACTGCACAGGCTATGGCATGCTCGGCTGTCTAGCAAGAATATACCCTATATTGAGAGCCGGACCCGGGTCTGTAGTAACTACCTATTTTTTCTCTCAATCGTTGTGTTATACTTTTCATCATAATCCATGCCATATATACATTCTTTTTAAGTTTTGTATAGAGTAGCGTAGCAGGTTTTGTATATATATATGTAAATAATATTCTTTAATAAATTGTCTTCTTGAACCTTCAACCGAGAATTACTTTTTTTACTCCTATTGGGTGTTGCTGCCGCTCCTCTGGTATTCCTCACTTCACCTTTAGTTATAGTCAGGAACTATAACAATAAAAGTACTTAGAGAATACGTTCAACAACCTCAGCCTATCACAATACACCTTACCATCAAAACCAGGGCCGGATTCAGGAGTGGGCAAAGTGGACAGCTGCCCAGGGGCCTCCACATATTACAATATTTTATTTATTCGTTTATTCATTTGGATTATGTTCAGCAAGAAGCGTGATAGAAATTAGGCTAGCTACTCCTTGAAAGTCATGAATATCTGGTTTTCCTATGAACCGTATATTTTTAATATTTTTAATATAACTGCATATGGCTTCAAATCAAAGAAGTGTTCAAATTAAATTTTTCCCGGGGGCTTACAGCGCCCCTGAACTCCCAGATGTTTAGGCTCGTTTACTCGCCACCCCACCCTCTTGGGTAGTTATAATGAGGGGGGCCTCCACAAAGAGGCTGCCCATGGGCCTCCACAGGTCTAAATCCGGCACTGATCAAAACTGAACTAAATCCATTAATTCTACCCAAATTTATTAAGTAGATGCATAACTCTGTCAATGACGGCTAGACAGCAACATTACCTTCCCCTCCCCTCCCTAAAATTTTGGTCGGGGAAACTAATTTGCCGAAAAAATGGGTTTAAAATATTGGTATAGTCACCCTTAAACGATTACATAATTTTCTATGAAAGCTAAATGTTGTCCTTTCTTTACAAATATTATTTTGAGTTAACTTGTATTTAATGATTCACACAACGAGTATTGGAATCTCTTTCGTTTAAATACTTTTTTTTACCTTTTCAAGGCCAGTAAAGCCTATAAGGAACCAGTTTCCCATACGTGACGAGTGAACAAAACTTTCTGTATTTCTTGTTTTCGTGATACAACTGATCAGTAAACATGATGTTGCACCTACAGTACTGTGCTGGTTCTCAACCAATATACAGATTGTGGAATACCGCAGGGTTTAATGTTTATGTAAAAAACCGCGGAGTTTAAAGGTTAAGGCATCTGAGTTTTCCTTACTGTAAATAATTTCCCAAATTATGATACACACTATCGACCCTGACCACGAGAGCTGTGGTGAAGTGGCTTTATTTTATTCTCTTCACCATGTCACGTTATTTACATGTGTCTCTAATATCAGATAAAAGGAAGGGTTGTTCCAATAAGTAATCAATCCAGCCTTGCTGACTGATGATAAAACTAACCTAATGTACAAGTCTCTGTACCTCCCGTGTTGTCTAGTGGCTAGGATACGCGGCTCTCACCCGCGAGGCCAGGTTCGATTCCCGGCACGGGAAAATCTTTTATTGTAGTAGTACCAAGTTGGAGACACCGCTTCTTGTCTGAACACCCAAGTTCACAGCCTCGCCTGAAATGCAGACGCCGTAGCCTCTGTTTACAGCTGACGTTCGTCCGCCACAGAAACGCTTACAACACTTACCAGGTACAGCTATATTGTGATAAAATGAACAGCCTAACCCTCTAGCCTAGGTTAGTTAGATTAGGTTTGTTCATTTAGTCCGATAAATCATATAAAGTAGCAGTAACTGGTTAGTCGTTCCACTGTACAAACGTTGGCGAGCATTAAACAAATGGTCTTCACTGTAAACAAGCACTCCTGTGTCCTAGACCTGTCTTAAAGAAGTGGTGAAAAACTTAATCCTTCCCATGTGAGGCGCTTGTCATTAGGTAAGAAAACATTGATGTATCTTCTACAGACAATTGTCCCAAGTTGCTGGTTAACGAGCGTAACAGTTGTTCAGTACGGCACTCCAGTCCTTGCTGAGCGGGATCTTAAGTTTGAAGGAATCGTTGTCACTGTCTGTTTAACTTCCTCAAGGTAATATTGCATAATCGATGAACTCTCTGCTGGATCATAGAAGTGTTAAATATCCATACAAGAACATACATTAACACTTACAGTAAAGACGGTCAGCAGGATATGTCTTCCCAGGAAACCTTCCAGAATACTGTTTTTCCCTCGGACTCACCCTGACACATATACTTATGTTATTACCGAGCTCATAGATATTTCTAAGACCGCCTAGGAACACCAAGTAGGCGACGAAATTGTCTGAAGTCCTTCTATATCCACAAGTTATTAGCACAACACTGAGTGAAGGAGACACCGACATACTGTTGTTGACACTGTTGGTGTATCACCTTGGCATTAAGTCGAAATTATTTGAAGAAATGGTAGATAATTAAATATGCAACTAAAATTAATATAATATATTATTTATAATAAAAATAAGGTCGTTTATTACATCAGATTACATAGAAATTGTCTTCGAAGGATTTTAAAGGAGATAGGTCTACAAAATCAAAATACCATTCGGATGTCGATAAAATTTTAAATAAGGTTTAATTATTTCTTCGACGTCTCTCATCTGATAAAATCACACTAAAAATTGAAATTGACTATAACAAACGAAAGATACATACAAATAAAAAGAAAATACTATTTTTATCAGGATATATTTTAATATAGGTATTTTTATTAACCTCTCTTTACCAACGTTGTCTACCATGGAGTTCTATATACTGTAGTATGTTAAGTAAACATAATTCAGCAAGCTTAATAGCACTCTACTACCTTTCATTTATTGACTAAGCCCTGAGTAGTGTATTAATACGAATGTATAACAAAGAGTACACAAACAGTCTATATGTATTTTGTAAGATATTTCTTACCCATTCTGGAGAGTATCAATTTAATGTTTATGTTAAACAATGTTATGCATTCAGAAACTTATTCCATCATAGTAATGTTATTTGATGTATCCGGCAACGAAAAGAAAATATTTTTTTCTTATTCTTTGGAAAGTTCTGTAACTTTCGTGTGAACATTAATGAATATACAAACTTTCACCTTAAGTTCACGAAACTCCCAAAAGGATTAACACAATATTGAAAAACATTTATTTCCCCTTAACCAGGAAGAGGACCAGCGGTAGGGGGTACAATAACACAAGAGCGCGAGAACAGCAAGTGAAGGCGGAGACACAGTATTCTTGTTGCTCCATAATGTGTTTTAAGGCTCGTGTGCAACACAGTATTTTCGGGAGCGATTTGCAGTGGATCCACTACAGCGCTCCTTGTAGAATGGAGTGAAGACAGGAGATCGATAAAGAGGACTGGCAGTGCGGAGAGTTAGCACTGTCCACACGACCTTACAGTAGACTAGCATGTAGATCTTGTTGGAGTGACACTGACCCGTCTTGCTCCAGGACTTGCAATACTTGTTCTTGTCCTCGCAGCTCGTTGTTGGGTTTACTGTAAGACACAAACATAATCTTAATAACGCCTGGCGCTAACTTTTCCACTCTTCAGTAGATAAATAACCAAACAAATTAATTTAATATTTAGTTTCAAGATGAATAAAAAACAAGTTGTAATTTCAGAATATAACCATATTTGTATTATATAAATTTAACTTAATCTAATATTATATAAACAGGCGTTCCTTCATCTACCATAACTACCAAGGATTTATCTTGCTTATAACCCGAACAAATTAACGACATGCATCACTTGCCGCCCTAATCACCTTGTTGATGGTCCTGACAGATGCCACAGGACTTCTTGCAGTAGATGGTCATGTAGTCAGGGTTGCGGGTACATTCCCTTTCTCACTCCATATCCTGCAGTAAATTCTAAGGTCCTGGCACTCTTTACCTGCGGCACCACCTGGCATTACTGATTGGTAAGATTGGTAAGTCACTAATATCCACGAATGACTGTTAGTGGGGCTAGTTAAGACTCTACTAAACATTTTAAAACTGCAGATTTGAGTTATGTTATGGATAGGTTAGGTTAGAATGAATTAGGGACATTTTAGTTTAAGTTAAATTTAATTAGTGGAACGATATAATTGGATTATATTTTACAAGGGAAACGTTAGGTTATGGATAATTTAGGTACGATATATTCAGACGCAGATTAAGTCCGGTCAGATTCCAAGTCCTGATCCGGCTAATTAGTCAAGTCTTATGTCACTGATATAGTTATTGTCAATTAGTAAGGTCTGGGTGGCAAAATTGCAAACGTAACTCATTTATAATTTTTTTCACAAGTTATAAATGTAATAATGCAACAACTGCTATTATTACTATATATTAAACAGTATTACAGATGATATAAGACATGGTAGCACTTATTTATTGTGAGTTATCTGACATGTACTTTAACGAGGAAGAGAGTAGCATAGAGAATCATAAGAAAAGAATCAAACCGAATTGAGGATAATTAGTGAAATTAAAAACCAAGTGAGAACCTTTAGTGAAACTACTACTAATACTACTACTACTGCTACTACTGCTGCTAATAATAATGGCAACAATATATTACTATTATCATTATTATTAGTAGTAGTGGTGTTATTTATCTACTACTCCTGCCGATAGTACGAAGACTATCATCACTACACCTACACCAGCTACAAAGAAAGAAAAAATGGTGTTACCCTCACCTAATCAACAGGTAATTACATCACCGTGTTAATGTATGCGGGTGTGTGTATGTATGTGCAGGTACTAACAGGTGTTGCCTATAGGTATTACTGGGACGTTTATATCTGACTTTCTCTCCTCGTTACATCACAAAGTTTGACAATATTAGTCACTTACCACAGTCTAGTAAACTCCCTTGTGAGTCACTAGCATCGCTTACGCTCCAGGACGTAAGACGATTTCACCCTGATGCATTTATTCCTAATTCTGGTGACCAGTTTAATTCTTTATCATGAATAGCGATGAATTTCATAAAACAAATTAGTTTTATTTGTGTTTACATTACAGATATCGATTAAAACATTTATGCGTTAAGCAACACGATATGTTTCCTTGAGTTAACAGCTGTCGACGGAACTTACCGTCCTCTGGCCTGCCTGACTGACACTAGTATAGGAATGAGATGCACAAATACAACCTATGATCAGAACCAAGTTAATCCTTAAGTAGTTATGGGAACCAGCGGGAGGTAATAGGAGGTAACAGAGAGCCAGTATGAGGTAATAGGAGGTAACAGAGAGCCAGTATGAGGTAATAGGAGGTAACAGAGAGCCAGTATGAGGTAATAGGACAGTATGAGGTAATAGAAGGTAACAGAGAGCCAGTATGAGGTAATAGGAGGTAACAGAGAGCCAGTGTGAGGTAATAGGACAGTATGAGGTAATAGAAGGTAACAGAGAGCCAGTATGAGGTAATAGGAGGTAACAGAGAGTCAGTATGAGGTAAATGAGTGAAGTGGGACCAGTATGAGGTAATAGGAGGTAACAGGGAGCCAGTATGAGGTAAAATGGATGAAGTGGGAGCAGTATGAGGTAATAGGAGGTAACAGGGAGCCAGTATGAGGTAAAATGGATGAAGTGGGAGCAGTATGAGGTAATAGGAGGTAACAGGGAGCCAGTATGAGGTAAATGAGTAAAGTGGGACCAGTATGAGGTAATAGGAGGTAACAGGGAGCCAGTATGAGGTAATAGGAGGTAACAGAGAGCCAGTATGAGGTAAAATGGATGAAGTGGGACCAGTATGAGGTAATAGAAGGCAACAGGGAGCCAGTATGAGGTAAAATGAGTGAGGTGGGTCCAATATGAGGTAATAGAAGATAACAGAGAACCAGTATGAGGTAGTATGAGGTAATAGAGAGCCCGTATGAGGTAGTGTGAGGGAAGTGAGAGCCAGTGCAAGGCAGTATGAAGGAAGTAGAAGCAGTAGGAAGTAGTATGAGGGAAGTGGTAGTATGAAGTAATAGACGATAACAGAGAGCCAGTATGAGGTAGTATGAGCAGTATGAGGTAGTATGGGGCAGTAGAAGAAGTATGAGGTAGTATGAGGAAAGTGGAAGCAGTATGAGGTAGTATGAGGCAGTAGAAGAAGTATGAGGTAGTATAAGACACTCACCGCATTGTCTGCAGGCCTTCCTACAGCTGACATACATCCAAGTTGGGTTCAGCTCACACTCGCCCATATCTGCCCACATCTGACAGTGTTTCACGTTGTCTGCACACTCCTCTGTAAACGGTACACAGTCATAGGGCATATAAGGTCAGCACACACACAAACACACACACACACACACACACACACACACACACACACACGGAATCAAAAACGAGAAGTGTATCCCAAAATATCAACACAAAAGTAAATATTGATAAAGACTGTAAGTGTGTTCGTGTGTGTGTGTGTGTGTGTGTGTGTGTGTGTGTGTCTTTACCTGTGAGGGCGTCAACGAGGACCTCAGGGGCGCTGTTGGTGACGAAGTAGGTGGAGGTATCGGCACAGTTGTAGAGCTTCTGTAGTTTGGCCACGTCTGACTGTGATGACACCACATATATTATTATTACTTTTGTATTTGAATAGTAGTAGTAGTAGTAGTAGTAGTAGTATATTTAATTTTAAGGTAATAAAATGGCGGCGAAGGTGTGGCTATTGCAGTAACTGTAGTTGGTTATTGTTATTTCTATATTTCTGATTATACTATTTCTCTTTGTTGTTGTTATTACATTGATAATCCGACTGAGAAAACAGCATGGGACACTTACCTTGGTGAACCCTCGTCTTTGGCCTATTTCTTTGCCTGCATCTCTGGGTATAATAGTCGGCTTCCGTTCTTTGGCGAAGGCGTATGGCCCATAATGCATCACCGACTCTGTGTGAGAAATACTGGTGAGAGAGAGAGAGAGAGAAAGAGAGAGAGAAAGAGAGAGAGAGAGAGAGAGAGAGAGAGAGAGAGAGGGGGGGTGAGGAATGGTAAAGTGGTAAGGGGAGAGGTGGTCGGTTTAAGGCGTATGTGAGGGAGAGGTGGTGGTGGTGATGGTGTTTTAGGCTATGAAATGTATCTTAGCCATATATCTCTCTCCTTCTGTTTCTGTCTCTCTCTTTCCCTCTCTCTCTTTTCTCTTTCTCTCTGTTTGTCTGTCTCTCTCTCTTTTTCTTTCTCTCTATCTGTCTGTCTCTCTCTCTCTCTCAATACTTACCCAGATCATAATCTATGCCAAGACTCTGTATCTTGTCCCAGCCGTACTTCTCAAAGTTGTGCCACATGCCGTCCTGTACGTTCAGTTTATTGATGGTGATGAAGTTGTCACGGTCAGAGCGGGACTGTTCGTGCCAGAACCCCGCGGCGTGCATGAACTCGTGCATGACTATACCCACGTACAGGCACCCGGGGCCCAAGGACACCTGTTGAGCACCCTTTGCCCGACCCACCGAACTTGAACACCTGTAGGGGACGGAGAGAGAAGATACGACCATTATCAGTAATTAGAACACTTGCGCGGGAAGATATACGGGATTCATTAACGAGTACACCTGTGGAAATGAAGACGCAGATGTAAACAGTACCAGTTGATGAATAGTTATGCCACTATTACTAAGTGTTATCATTATGATGTGGATGACTGTACAGGGATGTGGATAGGACTCACCCGTCGCCCTTGAGGATGTGGATGTAGTCCTTCTCGATGGTACGAGGGACAAAGCGGATGCAGGACTTGGCATGGAACTCACTCATGGCTTTGGCGATGGTCCCTCTCTCTGTCTCACCTGTCAAAGGGCACAGTATGGCATGATGTGGCACAGTATGGCATGTGGCCCAGTATGGCATGATGTGGCACAGTATGGCATGATGTGGCACAGTATGGCATGTGGCCCAGTATGGCATGATGAGGGCACAGTATGGCATGATGTGGCACAGTATGGCATGTGGCCCAGTATGGCCAGTATGGCATGATGTGGCACATGGCATGATGTGGCACAGTATGGCATGATGTGGCACAGTATGGCATGTGGCCCAGTATGGCATGATGAGGGCACAGTATGGCATGATGTGGCACAGTATGGCATGTGGCCCAGTATGGCATGATGAGGGTACAGTATGGCATGATGTGACATAGTATGGCATGATGGAGCACAGAGAGAGAGAGAAAGAGAGAGAGAGTACCACAAACCATTCCCTCACTCACCATAGGTTTGAGATATGACGTAGGGAATAATGCCATTGGGCCAGCGTCTGTGTACGTCGATGAGGGCACTGCGACCTGACCTGTGATGACCTTTGGCTGCCTGAAGGGGATAAACACACTGTTAGATGTGTGTGTGTGTGTGTGTGTGTGTGTGTGTGTGTGTGACATAGCTCAGTTCCTCTCAAGACTCCCTCACCTTCACTCCCACCTCATACCCCAAGACCTCCCCAAAACACCCCCTTCCCCCACATACTCAAGACTCTCTTTCTCCCGCCAGATACCCAAGACCTTCCCAAGACTGCTCCTCTCCCTGCCACATACCCCAAGACCTCCCCAAAACACCCCCTCTTCCACCACATACCCCAATACTCCCCCGGAGACTCACCCCATGAGGCAGGTCGAGGAGTATATCGCCATGGTGCAGCATTATGTCACCCTGGAAGAGGCCAGCCAACTCTATGGGGTCAGCCTGGCTGTTAGTGTCCACCGTGTCGTGAACTATGGCGATGAGGCAGTTATTAATATTATTATTATTATTATAAATATTATTATTATTATTATTATTATTATTATTATTATTATTATTATTATTATTATTATTATTATTATTATTATTATTATTATTGTTATTATTATTATTATTATTAATAATAATAATAATAATAATAATATTATTATTATTATTATTATTATTATTATTATTATTATTATTATTATTATTATTATTATTATTATTGTTGTTATTATTATTATTATTATTATTATTATTATTATTATTATTATTATTATTATTATTATTATTATTATTATTATTATTATTATTATTATTATTATTATTAATATTATTATTATTATTATAACCAATCAGCAACTTTAAGAACCAAGTAAATGTAAAGATGTTTATCATAAAATAACAAGCTACAAGGAATATCTAGACTCTGAGTATACTCTAAATTCTAGAGTATATACCATTGGCTGTTAAGTTACAATGCAATGGAATGCAAAGGAATTGGAGATGGCAATATCTGTAATTATAATATTTACAGAAGACATTAATTACACATTAGACAATGGGCTGAATTAAAACATTAGAGACTAAACTTAAACAGGACTTAAAAGATTATTATTATGATGTGACCAGAACATAGGCAATGAGATGTTAAAGGGAATGGTTAAATTTATAGTAACCTCGAACATAAATTTAAATTAGGTACTGTCAGTTGTTTTTCTTTCTTTAGATTGTATAAAAAACGGACAACATTTAGGGGAAACTCACTCATCTCGGCGCTGTTCTCGAAGTCGGCCGGACTGAGAGGCGAACCAGGGATGTCTGTGTCCATCTGTGGGCAACACATACGATAAAATATTTCATCATGCTCGTCGGTATAAAGTAAAGAAAAAAATAAGTTAAGTATTAGCGACAGAAAGGGCATGGTGTCGTGGTTTTCCTATTAAAATTTGTTGGGAGTGAATCATGTGCACTGCAGAAGTCCCTGAAGGTGGCCAAGCTCCCCACCGCACCTCAACATAGTCCAGGGAGCCATATAACTCTGTACTGTGATGGTAGACATTGTTGATTATTAGAGTTAGCTCATACCGACGGAGGGGTTACTCACCGTGTCTGGGGAGCCGAGGGGCAGGTCAGAGAGATCATTAGGGTCAAGTAGGATCTGGCCCATGTCCCCGTGCTGCACGTTGGGGTCTGAGGACCTTCCCCCAGCAGCCACTCCGCCCGTCACCACCCCAGCACACAACACCGCTCTCATTGCCGCCCACACCACCCACCATGAAGCCGCCCATAGCATCGCCCACATATTCCACTGCTAGAGGATTCGTAGACAAAAAAAATGAGTCAAGGTGCTATTATTGTGTGTAAGACAAAGCTAAGTGGTGTAAACATGCGATTTCCCCCCCGCGGGTATTACTATACTTTACTTGTACTTATTGGCCGCGTCTGTCATTGTGTTGCATAAACTTATTGACTCTGATACTAAAGATAAATCACTGTCCATATACCAAGTCAAGAAGTTAAAGAACCAAAATGGCGGGTTAACTTTCCCTTATCACTTACCAATATGGATATAACTGAAGTCTCTTGGCGTCTTTGAAGATACAGTATACGAGTTACCTTGGCGTTTTGGAGACGATAAACAACACTCTTTTATGTTTTAATGATGTAAAAATCTCTTACTAGTTTGAGAAGTTGTTCACCGTTTTAGAGATAATTGAAGGGCTGTCACTTTTTTTTAGTTGAAAAGATTAATAAGTGACGTCTGGAAGTGTATGTGAGGACGGAGGAGAGTTGGCAGTGTGAGGGAAGCCTTGAGAAGACCTGGTCGTGGGGAGGTGTAGGGGACTCATATATACCCATGGGGGCGCCACCATCATGATGCAACACCCCCACGCCCCCGATATCAGCCTCCCCTTAACATAAGCACCTCCCCCTTTCCAGTCAACCCAGACACTAGCCACCCTGTCAGCTCCCCCTTTCCCTCCTCAGTTACCCCTGACAACGCCCCCCCCCCTCCCCAGGACTTCAGCCACTCCTGACAAGACTTTATTTCCCCACTACTGGTCACACTCGTTCATCAGTCAATTACTACACACTTACACACTTGGGGATGTCTGTCTCAAGCTGTCCGAGATTGAGAAGTTAGTTTTACTGTGGTTTCCTTTCTGCTAACTTCATCCATATGGGTATTAGATGTGATGGACGTATGTGGCTATGGACTTGACTGATATTGCATGTTGGTGGTGGTGGTGGATGCTGGAGTCAAGCGTTTGTGCTGTTCTCCAGGACCCCGCGCGACGTCGTGATTCTGAATATAGTTTCACTATTTCCAAGTTCCTTCATTAGTTCAAGATCACTGTGTGTTGAAGCATAATATAAATTTACACATCGTGATTCACTTAGTTTGTGATGCGCTAATCGAGAAAAATAGTTGGAATACAAATACTGTACAGTACTGCAGCAAAGGTTCTGCAAGGACTGTGGGAGCGAATACTGAAGATAATTAACACATGAGTTACACACCGTAGACTCATGGTACTAAAAATCTAATCTCTTCCACTGGTATACACGCTGAGGAAGCTGCGCCGCTATGACATATTGTACCCGGCATAGTGTCAGAAATAGTTACTGTACCTATAGTTGGATCCCATATGGTAAATAAATTAGAACAAATTAAAATGTATGTTCTATTCAAAGTTGGAAAGCAGTTGTAAGAACAAAGGAATTATTCTGCCGAACTAACAAGATAAGTTTGAGAGTTACTTTTACTTTTATCCTTTTCACCAAATGATCGACTCGTTAGCCACTTGGGCGATCGGTCACGTATCTGTTACGCACTGTTGGCATGCACCGGTTCCTGAATGTACCTGAACCTGCTCCAGTGTTGGTCAAGTCTTGTCTTGGAAGAGCTCACACTCGGTGCCGTCACAACACTCTCTGGTAGATTGTTCCAAGAGTTCACAACTCTCACTCCGAAAAAGTTTGCCCTCACGGTTTTCTGGACTTGCGGCTTCTTCAATCTTGAGCTGTGACCCCTTGTGGGGCGAACGTCCGCCAGCTCCAAGTAAGGACACTCGACTGAGTAGTGCCCCTTGAGATGCTTATACACCTCAATTAGGTCCCCCCTTGCCCGTCTGTAGTATAAGCTAGGCAAGTTCAGGCGCTCCAATCTCTCAGGGTAGCTGAGGTGCCGAAGGGCAGGCACCAGTCTGGTGGCCCTCCTTGTGAGAGATGACACTGTTTATGTCTCGACGGGTTGGGCGGTTAACTGCCGATTGAATGAACGAGTCATGGAAAGTGGAAAGCTGTTTACTACAATGGTGGAGAATTTCAATGTAATACTCACGATAAAATACTTTTTAAATTGAACACTTAGGCGCGTTCTTACCACCGGCATCGGAACCTTACACTATAGTCCAGCAAGGGGAGACTTAACAGAAGTCTATAAACACCTTGGTCTAACCTGTGGTGCTTAAACGTTTGTGTGATATTTTTCATTGCTGTTACCTGTATTTGTCTGGATGTTTAGGATTTATATAATAATGTACTTTTAACTCTAAGTCATGAGGTCAAATATTGTTATGGAGTTAAAGCAGTTTGTTCAACTTGGTGCAGTTTTACTATTTTTTTTAAATGAAAAATATGCTATGATCCAAAACATTAATTACAGTAAATTCAAACGTTTCATGATTAAAAGACAAACATTTACAGGTATTTATTTTAATGACAGACTTTGTTTCTTGTGTTTGTTTGGCCGGGTAGTGAACGCTGCGAGGCTCAGCTGTGACGATGCAGGAGTGAAGTATCCTCGCCATGACGACTCCAGCTGTTCATAACCTGCAGGACGAGCTCTGTAAGTGTATATTAATTCGAACAACATTGTTTTGCATAATGGAGGGTAGTGCAATATATTTCTGGCGCAAAATGAAGATGATTTGCATAATCATACTGGTGGATTTTGTTCTCCAATATTTCGTTCCCCCATTGTACTGTTTTTTTAATCATCCTGAAATACTTTTAATCGTTAACCTCGTCCAACATTGCATTCTTCATTATATTTGTGTTAATATCAATTAGAGTACTGTAATGTATGCTAGTATTTCGATAAAGTTTGGGTTGGTTTAAGGCTCTAGTAAGTTGGTCTTGACATTCCTTTTTGTAGATGGTGGTATTAACTACAGTATTTTATTTCTTCTTATTGTAGTGTTGGTGGAGCGAGTGTTTCTTCGTATTGGCTCAGCAGCAACTGATGATGTGTTGCAGGAGGAATTACTCAAGTTCCTCTCTCCTGTGATCCTTAAACTGGCCTCGCCACATGAGCCTGTGCGGAAGAAGGTACAGTACATCGGTCTATATAATACAGTATTTACTTACTTTCATTATACAAATGTGTTAGGTCTATGTATCCAGCTGATGGCGGTGGTGATCCAGAGTTTTGGAACTTTACGTGACATCTTGATCTATTTCGGGTTTGTTTTGTCTTGCTGCCATCACAATAGAATTGATTGAAATAAGAAATCAATATATAATTATTTGGTAATGTCTGAGAATATCACTACCACCAGATGGAGTTGTTTCATTGCATTCATTTTTTCCACAGATTTTCTTATCATTATAGTAAGTATTTTACAAGAGGCAACATTTACTAGAACCTAATAGAACTTGACCTAACCAATCATAAAAACCTACCTAACCTTACCAACTTCCTAACCAGGGGATGGAACCCCCGGCATATAAAACAGAAAGTACTTATTTATTATATCTGGCACTAATGAAAGAAAATTTGTTGAAGCTTCGTGGTGTACAGTAATTTTTTATGTTTTTTGTGGACGTGAGAGTACACTTGGACTGAGCTGGTCGGTTGTAAACAAACAGAGCAGATGAAAACATGCGCTGACTTGGCAAATTTTTTGGAGTTGTATTATTATATGGTACAGAATTAATTTCTTCACGTACAAAGCACACAGAAACATAATTTTAGTGTCATATGATCAGTTTTTCATTGTATATTACCTTGAAATTTCCCTCATCCTTCATGCCCTGCCCACTACAGGCGATTTATGATCATAGAAAAAATACTTATAAGTAAAATAATGAATTGCCGCCTCTTTTAAAATACTATAATGAGAAGACCATTTGTAGAAAAGAATGAATGAGATCGAACAACTCCTTCTGGTGGTAGTGGTGTTCTCAGACATTACCAGTGGTTTTATTTGTTCCACAGGTGATGGAATTGTTGATTCATGTGAACCGTAGAGTTAAAGATCATGAAAGTATCCAGCTGCCTGTTGAGGCTCTCCTGGTCCAGTATCAGGATCCCGGTGCTACAGCATTTGTCACAGTAAGTTCTGCTTTGCACATGTTGGAAATTAATTTTGTTAATGCAAAACAACAGTAATTTTACAGAGGTGATGACCATTGCTGACTGACTAGATAAAATTAACAGTCATAATTAGGACAATTTCTGCAGAGTAAATAACATTGATGAAAAGAAATGTGATTAAATAAAAACATTAATACCAGTAAATGAAGTGTAATATCTGTTGTATTTATTTTTCTTCAGAATTTCTCGATTATTTATATTAAAATGGGGTATCCAAGGCTGGACATCAACAAGCAGGTGGAGCTCCTGCCATCCATGCTCAACAGTCTTGAGGGGAAGCCCGCCCAGCACCAAGACAGGTGAATTATTTTATCTCACAGTTTAAAGATAACAAGATTGGTACTGTACGTCACCTGACCACACTTATAGGGACAGTACTCTACTGTAATAATAATAATTCTTTCTTTATGGCATTATTATAAATATGAAATTGATACATTTATATACAGAAGGTAAATAAAGTGATATCATCGGTATTTTCTGGGTAGTACAGTTAATGAAGATGGTGAGAGTATCTTTGTTATGTGTTCACCCTCCTCTCTCATCTTCCTCTCCACTACTATCCCAACTGTCCTCCATCTTTGAGATTCTTGTGCCTCTCGATCCACCTCACACAGACGTGGGAGAAGTGTGAAGATAATTGAGAGGATTAAGAAATTATAGATAGAATTTGTTAATAAGTGATTTAACCATCTGTGTGCCATTAGTCTGCTGCTGTTGATGGTACCAGTGTTTGGCCACATGAAGATCCCAGAGACGGCAGAGAAAACAGCCTCGTTGTTTGGACTGAGGGAGAGGCCAGGCATTGCTAAGTTGTTACTTGACTTTATGTTGGACATCTTGCTGCTCCCATATGGGTTAGTACAGTACAGTACATAGTTTGTTTCTATAGGTTAGGTTAGGTTTGTTGAGGACATGGATGATGCATTGGTCCAGAAAATAGAAAGAAAGCAATAATAATAAATACTGTATGTACAGTATTATCTCTGTTAGCTGGAATCCCTCAAACCCGGAACTCTCTGATAACCAGAATATAAATTTTCTCAGAAAATAGTTCCCAAAGCTGAATTTTCTGGAAAATTCTGGCTTTGGGAATGATTTTCTGATGGGCACATTTTCTGGAAAATTTGAGAGAATTTTCTCAGTACGTACCTGGAAAATTCTGGGGATGGGGAAGTTTTTTCCGGTACCCGGAAAATTCCGGGGATGGGGGATATTTTTCAGGGTTTGATAGTGTGTGTCATATTTGTAGACAAAGAAATCCATTACATTATAGGGCATTTGGCTAATGTACCACTAATTATTGATCTTCATTTTAATGGGAATTTCTATCATCTGGTCCCAAGGTTGCCAGATAAGAGAGGGTCAACCTATAGAAGGCTTTGAACTGGGATTATTTGGGCTGTATACAGTAGTGATTATATTTAATTTGTGAATTATTTTATATTGTACGAGTTTCGTATTTTATTATTTTACATATTAACATAAATTTATTTCGTCCCAGTGCTACACCATTGTCTCAGCAACGAGTGAATGAAGGAGCACAGGACAACTCAGATGGCCCACCTGTTCCTGGTGTGCCAGCAGGGATGAGTATTCATGGCTTTAAGCGAGTAATGGGAGAAACAACACCAAAACCAGAAGATTTGGAGAAACTCAAAGTGTCAGTTATTAAATTCTTGAGTTCTGAGGTACTGCCACCACTCTCTGTGGTCTTGCAGTTAATAGTGGGAGCAGCAGATACAAGATTTTCTGTTGCTAATGCTGCTGATCTACAGCTGAAAAGAATAGATGGCAGTGTGGATTGGAACAGCAGTGCAGTAATTGCACCAGTATATGTTCTCTTTCTGGGCACACTAATGCCAAAAGATAAAACGCCTGTGGACAAGTTTAAAAATCCGGCAAACACGAGAATTCGCCTAAAACTTATGCCGTACCTTTTGAAGTCCAAAGAAGCATGTAACTATGCCCCACTTGCTCTGAAGGTGTTTTTTGAATGCTTATGGGGTCAGAATTCTAATACAAAACTGAAGCAACAGGGTGTGACTTTTCTGCATCACATTGCTTTTAATGCTATCAAAGAGAAGTTGGCTCCTGTGGGAAGTGTCCTCTTTGGTGGAGTTGTTAAGGTTATTGAAGAAGAGAAGTGTGATGCAAGGCTAAGATCTTTAGCATATGGTGCTTTAGCAAAACTCTCAGTTAAACTTCCCAACCTTTTGCTATCACATCATTCACAGCTTCATTATCTGCAGACTCTCATGAATGCACTCACGCAGGAGGAGGGGGACGTGTTACTGTCGGTGCAGGAGGCTCTGTCAATGGTGGCACCTGTTTGTAAACAGTTGAATCCCTCTAGCCAGGATGAGCTGTGTATCCTCCTGTCTGATCACGTGTTACATCATAATCCCCAGCTAAGACGCACGGCCGTCCATTATGCTGCCTCTGTGTTTCCTCCTGATCATGTGCCTTCTAGGTTCATTCTCATGGTGGCCACAGGAGATAAGTAAGTGTATTTATTGTTCTAATCCTAATTTTTATTTTTTTGTAGCTGATAGTCCTAGTTTTACATGTAATATTTTTGTTACGTATTGTCTCATAAAATGTTATCATACTGATGCATATTGACTAGAGTACAGGACGGTATTTAGATTTTTATGATAACTCTTTTTACCAGCCATGATGACATCCGTATAGAATCAAGAAGACAATTATATAAGGCAATTAAAGAAGCCAAAGATGGAACCCCAACATACCAAGCACCACCATTCTCAGCTGTCATTGGCTATGTCCTAGAACGTGTAGACTCTCTGCCAAAAAGTAAATGGCACGATGTTGCTAACCAGCCAGTGCCATTTTCTCTGCCGGTAATGGAGCAGGTACGTCGTACACCACAGTTATTGTGAGTCCAGAATATTTGGTTTACTATACTTTTTTATTAAGTCATGGGATTGTCTAACTGGCTCTGCTTATTAACTAGTGCAGTTCCAAGGTTACAGGCAAATTTTGTTCCTGTAGGTAGCACTGTGTCAATTTTATTTGTAGATATTAATTTATATTAGTATACATTACTTTATTATTCAACTAGTAGACTTTACATTTCGTGTCTTGAGCACACTGTATTATGTATGGGCAGTTTTACATTTTTGTCTTAACCTGTTCCCTAATAGATCTTGCATACTGATTTCTTCATGCAGATGCTTAAATACTTGGAACATTGTCTGGAGGTGGAGGCGGGCAATCATAGTGGGAAGGAACAGGGGCTGTTTTGGTCTGATCCACCGACTGTAGGGAAACTGGTACACAAGATAGTGGAGGAACACCAAAGGAAACTGGCTTCAGGAGCTAAAATAAAACGTAAATGTCTTTTATTGTGTAAAGTATTGCAATTTCTTCTGTATTATAATTACTGTACAGTATTACATTAAAATTGATATTTGGCTATACTGTACTGTACCGTACCTGTAGTTTTTCTTTTGTGTTTGCCATTTCTTGGACTGAAATCTGGTACTGTTGTTCATTATTGCACACACTTTTGGTCCTCTGTTGCCTGATTTGCCTCAGCTGGGGAATACTGTGTGTCATATTCAATAGTCTTTGTATTACAGGTTGTTAGAAATGGAGGAGGATTACACTTGTGTGGGTTGGGAAGGTAAGAGGGGACCTTGTTGTGATAGTTATATTTGTGTTAGCCAAGTGATGACTAACATCTGATCACATTCCCTTTTCAGCTCAAAACCCATTCATGAGATATGTTGGGTTTGCTGAATTAGCTGCCAATGCTTGGTCTGCTTCTGCCTTGGAATCTATCTTAAGAGTTGTGGCAGTTGCCCCAGAACTCTTCATTGACCACTATTCTCTGAAGATGGACTGGATAAGGGTAAGTTACTCTATGGTGGATTACTTGTTTCATGATACATAAAATGTTACAGAGTGCATGAATGGCAAGAAAGCACAGCATTAATAGGTGTATGGAGTGTCACAGCATTTAAAGTGAATGGACAGAGGTGAGGAAAAGGAAACTTTCTTGTTCATTTCGATTCTGACCACCATACAGCATAGCAAGAGAAGATTGGGATGTTCTGCTTCAAAAACTGTATCTGTCTGTTTTCATAGGATTATCAAACTGCTTGTTTTAGATAATAATGTAAACATATGACTGATGCGCGTGGCCAAAATGTTTTGCTCCAGTTAATACTTTTTGTGTCATCCATAATATTGGCGAGTCAACTTGACCACCATTTTTCAGCCAATTTTCCCACAACTTGTTACAAATTGTGAATAATGTACAGGTATAGGTATTGGTGAGGTGTTCATGCCCTGATGGTTTGGCTGTCATAAGTCCATCCATCCGTATTTAAGTTTACAGAATCAACTCTACAGTTTTCAAGTTTTAATTCTCACACAAGATGATACAAAATAATAGTACAATAGTTGGTTGATATGTATGTATAATGGTGTTCCACTATGGGTCTTTCCATCTGTTAGTTTTTTTTTTTTTACTATTTTAATCAGTTTGTATTTGCAGCGTAACAGAAAAAGGCTGAAAAACTAAAAAAAAAAACACATTAGTATATACTGTTTGTAGTACCTGTGGCATCTATGACATTTGTTTATTTGAGCACTGTCCATCTCTTCTCAGAAATTCATCGTGCGAGGAAGCCATTACGGGGAGGTGGCTGCCCATCTCTTTGGTGTGGTAGCCGGCCAAGTGAAGAGTCAACAGGAGTTTGAGAAGGTCATCTACCATATAACAAACATGAAGAATTTGGTAAGGCTGGAATATTTTAGTCTTTTTTCTTTAATTGAATAAATACTTAATGCAAATTCATATACAATTGATTTAAATAGAATAACATTATGAGTACGGGAATTTACAGTTAACAAGCATTCATACAACACAATATCCATTTTTACGTTTCATCAGTAAAGTAACTCTTACAAACAGATTATTTCGTGTGTATAGAAGGATGTACCCATTACTGTGTCTAGTTCTTAGTGATGGCTTGTGAGGATAATACTACAACATTGTTTATAGGAGTTAACAAGAGAAGGTATAAACAGTATTGACTTACTTGTGAACTATAGCACATTTTTATAGGGGTCATAATTTGGCTTCTATATCTATCCTATAAACAATGAAAATATTTCTTTAGTCATTTAATATTGAACTAAGGAAATGTTCTTTTCTGTCAGCGTGTGGATAGCCAAGAGAGCTGTGTGCTTGCACTTGGCCACAGTTACGCTTACAATATTAACAGCATGAAGAAGTATGGAGTCTACTTGGAGGACTGGCCGGCACATGAGTCTGTTGTTCAGGAGCTCGGTAAGATGTCTGTTTACTTTTTTTACAGGGAATTTATAGATTTTTTTTATTTGTTGGTCTTATTCTACTTTGAAATTTAGAAAGACCCACAAAGGTGTACACTTATGTAGGTAGTTAGAACCAAGTTTTACACACATTTTCAATAATTTTCTTGTGTTTTAAAAGTTAATGGCACCCATAGACAAATTTTCACTTATGATTTTTTTTTCTCTTTTTTTTTTCTTTTTTTATCTTGGCATCTTACACATATTTGCACTGAAGTAAAACCAATATATTAAGTACTGTTGCCCACTAAATTTGGCCACAGTTTTCATGTGTTGCATCTATAATTTATCTGCTGTTAGTGATTAAATTATGTCATGATTATTTTTATTTTTTGGAGTGTTATTCTTTTAAATATTGTATTTTATATGTATATATACCTTACAGATCAATTATGGCGTCTTGATAAATAAGTTTATTGAAAATTTATGTAACTTACGTTGCAGGACACAGCTTAAGTGACATTTTCTTTTCTTTGTAAGTTGGTCAGTTGCTGAGTGGGAACAGCCCTATTCAGAATGCCTTGGTAATATCACTTGGGGAGATGGCCAGACAGTCCCCCCTTCCTCTGCCTGTTGGTGTGCCTGAAGGAGACAAGAAACCCGTGTCATCGCTAGCTGTAGTGAATTATCTTATCAAGGTTTTCAATAACAAGAAACTGCCCTCCAAGGTATGTTGTATTCAGACTGAGACCTTATTCAGTAAATGTATTATAAACTTAAGTGTCATAACTTAGATATGAATAAAAAAAATTATCTTAAAGCACTAAACAAATAACTGGGATTACTACAGTATGTGGTCCAAAAGTACAGTCATATCCAACATCATTTTGTTACAGTATAACGTTGGTGTTTTTACAGTAGATGTCCGTGGTTCTGCGCGTCATTATTATTGCCCATCTGATTTGTTATAACGTGGTCGCCCAGTGTGAACTATATAATGTATTACAGATTTCTTTGATAACATAATGACACGAGATGATATTAGAGCCAACCACCTTTACATAGATTACAATTCTTTGAGCACTATGCTCGATAGACAGAAGTGCATAATGCAGTTGAGAATTACCAGTAACCTTGTACAGTACAGTACAGTACAGGTATAATAATTTGTTTTATCTTTATATCTGCTGATTTGTCATATTTTCCTTCAAGGTTCGGGAACAAGCTATAGCTACCTGTGGGTACTTTTGTGTTGGTCAACAAGAGTTTCCACACAAAAAGAAAGTTTTAGAAGCCCTGCTGGCCTTAGCAAAGGAAGTAAGTTATTTTAATTTCAAGTTAATGTAATTTAAGAATGTACAAACAAACACACACACACACACACACACACACACACACACACACACACACACATAAAAAGGATACAAAGACTTATAGTTTAGTCACTGTACCTAGTACAGTAGTGTATGTAAGATCATGTTTGAATATAAAGACTTTAATACATACTGTACCACTATGTCTGACCAGGGTTGTACTTAGTATGTTTCACCACAGTTGACCTGGATTGCCTATTACTGTGCATAACCTCAGGTAACTTGAGGTGATAACTGTGTCACTTTCAGCACCAACTACAGATGTCAGATCTCTCCTTCCCCATGTCATAATCTGTGTCTGGGTTAACACTACTTGCCTGACAATGGGTCTACAGTGTTACACTGTGATTAAACTAACACACTACCAGTTACCTCGTAAGTTTATGACTCAGAACTGCCCTAAGTTTTTATTACTGAGTTATATCCATTATCTGGAAAAATACTATTGTAAATATTTAGGATAATGGAAAGTCCTTGAGCATTCATGTAATATGGTAAACATGAATCTTATCTGTGAGATAGGCTTTTCTTCTTAGTAAGAAATTACTTTATTAGTAACAGTCAGTATCCTACATTTCTGCTCTGTGCATTTTTTCAAGTGAGTATCGTTCAATAGAAATGTGAATAAGAGGGAACTATACACTTATTTATCTTTCAGACAAATGAAATAGAAGTTCACTTTGCTGTTGGTGAGTCGCTGGCTGACTGTGCTCTGGGTACTGAGTCTCCATCAGCAAGGAACCTGTGGACTGATGATGACCCCATGAAGGAAAAGACCAATGAAGACCGTGAAGAAAACATGGAAGAGGTAACTTTATTGATTTATGGCAGAGAGAGATAGAAAAGGTCTATAGCACATCTGTAACTAGATATTTTGTTAGTTGCAATACTGTACAGACATGGTATACTGCACTAGGGTCATGAAATAAGACTTCACAAGCACTAGTCCATTCTTACTTCTTTTGTGTGAAGACAGTAAGCTAGTTTAAAATCCTGAAAAGAGGAGGATGTAAGTTCTTGTGTGGTAAAGTTTACATGACAGTAACCTCTTTTACAGGGTGGCAGAGATGAAAAAGAAAAAGACACAGATGAAGCTATGGAAAAGGACTTTGTAAAGTCAGATGAAAGTAAGAAAATTTGTTTTGGCAGGTTTTTCTTCACGGGTGAATTTGTGGCACTAGTTTAACTTACGAATGATTGTGTATCAGTACATCCTTGTTGTCTTAGAAGATGTACAGTTATTTTCACCACCTTGGTGTTGCTGTTGTTATTGTCTGGGTGAGTTTTTTGGGGTTTAACTCATTGGACTTCAACGGATGAACTTTAATAAGCAATTACAAAACCCTTGTTTTTTGTGTGTCACCGTAAGTATACCACAGTTCAGGAGACTTATTTTATTTTGAACCCATGTGATGGACTAAGGGAGATACAGATGTTAGTGTGCACTCTGAAGGGCAATATCACTGATAAGAGATGTGTAGTCAACTTAGGTTTGCCTAAAAGTTGATTTTATAATAGGAATTGAAATTTTTTGCCTTTCTTGAAAAATTAAAGTTTTTGCACTCAGCTGGAGAATTGTACAGTACAATATTCATAATTCATTGGTAGAGAGAAGGAATGTTGGTGTTCAGAAAACAGCATTTAGAAGACATGAAAATGTAATTGCTCTTTAGTCTTCACTGTGTAGAACATATAAAGATGCTGAATGATTAGCATGTCAAGGAAAGATTTGATATGCAGTATCTGTCTTACTTGAAGTATGGCATTTATCTTCCAGATCAATAGACAAATGTGTGAGTGACTTATTTTACATTTCAAAGTACTGTACTGTACAGTGATGGGTCGTCTTTTGCAGAGTGTGTAAATGGACTTTACCAAATTGTTTCAAGAAGATTTTGTACCTTAACTTAATCTAATATAACCTAACCTAACTCCACCAACATTATGCTCTGGGTGGCACATACAATGTATACAAGAGTCAAAGTAAAAATTTTTGGAAGGAGTTGGTAATTGTTTTTATTTTTTTTTTAGAAACTTCACATACCGTTGAAGAAGCCATGGACACAACTGAAGGTGAGGGAGCAGTAGTACATGGAGAAGCTGAGAAAGATGTTTTAACGTGGCTTTTGGGAGAACTTCTTGATAAGTATGTGAGACAGACACAACCAAGTGTGAGACAGGTTTGTAACATTTTCTTTATTCAGCTGATTTTATTATTATTTTTGTCTCTCTCATAAGCCTTACCTTAGCCCACATGAACTTCAAGTGTGTACAACGCCACTCACGAAGTTGACATCATTGACTGTACTGTAGTTTTATTTCACCTTGATATTATTGCCAACACATCACAGATCTTGTGTAGTGAGCCGTCACCCTTGATTCTATCTAGCACTATCAGCTTACAAGCAATTAAAATTTTTTATTTTCTTCTTGATTTTGTTACAGTTTTCTTAACAGTTCTTGTAGAAGTGATAAGACCGTCATTGGAAGACAGTTTGAAAAGTTTGATCATCTGTTCTCCAATCATTTTTGCACAATACTTCCTGGATGACCAACATAATTTTTAATGTGTCCTTTATCCCATCCCTACTTTAGTGTGTGGGTTAAATTTGTTCATTATTTCTGTTCCTTGCTACTTGCACTCAATTACTGACTGAGAAAACTTTTAGGTCAATTGTGTTGTGGTAGTAGTTTATGACTAATTTCTAATCCCTTATTATTTTTGTCTGTATTATAATTCAGACAGTGAGAAAAAGTGAAACTAAGATTTACTTGAGGCTGTTTTTATAAGTTAAGGCAGGGGTTCTTAACCTGGGGTCCATGGACCTCCAAGGGGTCCATGGATGGGCTTCAGGAGGTCCGTGAAGGTCAGATAAAAATTTAACATTTATATTCACTATATTTTTATATTAAGTTGCTCAATTTTTGTCAATACCTGTATATACCAGATGTTATGTATGTAGTTTTGGTTACTGAAGAAAACCAGTAAATCTGTAGGGTGGCATGGGATGCTACTGTACACGGTCAGGTAACGTACAGTCGTCAACGTCGTCAGGTTTTGACTTCTAGAATGTTTACTTTATTCATACTTTGTGTATGTCATACACTGTATGAGGCAATGAATTTTCAATAAAATAAGTATATTCATTGCATGCAAAGTTGTGTTTATGTGCATTTTTCTAGGGAGGGGGTCCATAGCTTTCACCAGATTCTCAAAGGGGTCCGTGACTCAAAAAAGGTTAAGAACCACTGAGTTAAGGGTACCAGCACTCGACAGCATTTGGATATATCTTGTTATTTTTGCTCCCTCTTGTTGCTTACCTAATTTTTCACACAGTGTTCTTCCTTCCTCCCATTTTTGAGGATTTTGCTTCTTATTTTCCATCCACAAAGAGTGGGAGTTGACAAAAAATAATACTGTAGTTGAAAGACAAAAAAATGATAGAAGCATTTTACTATTTTACATTTAATTAAGTCTAGTGAGAAAGATAAGACATGCACTTTTTGAGAGAATTTTGCATGAATTGTACAGTACAGTATTTGACTCAGTGGTACATCAAGTGTGCTTGTGGTATGCTTTGCCACTATTTCTGTGATATTTGATGCTGACTAACTGCACTGTGTTGGCATGATGTCCATTTGTGTTATGTTATACCTTTATGGTTCATAATTATAATGTAACTTAATTAAATATATACATATTTTTCCCCAGGCTACTTGCATCTGGCTGCTTGCTTTACTGAAGAGATGCCGCAAGAAACCAATTATCCAACAACGACTGTCTGGTATCCAGCAGGCCTTCATGAGTCTTCTAGGTGACAATAATGGTAAATAAATGTGTTAAGTTTGCTTTCATCCTTGAATATATGGCATGCACTGTTCATAATGCAGGGAATTGAATGCCCAGTCAATAAACAAGACCAAGCTTCTTACTGTGTCCAACTTGGAGGAGCTTGACACTTGCAGTGAGATCATGAAGCTGTATTGATAAGCAACACATTTGTGCAATTATGGTTCCCTATACTTCTGCTCAGCCTAAAATCCTATAAGGGGATAAGGCTTACAGTTTCGGCCATAATCTTGATCTCACCGATTTTGTTAAAATATCAATACAGTAATACCCCGCTTTACGCGGTTTCACTTTCCGCGATTTCGCATTTACGCGGTACCTCGCCAGAACCGGACTTTCACTTTACGCGGTGCATCTACTCATATACGCGGGAAGCGGCGCGGGCAGGATGCGCACAAGGTCGCCCAGTCATCAAAACATTACCGAGTTCTTCACCCGCTACCCACCACAGCTGGCCCAAGTCAGTGATAGTGATAGTGAGGATATGGACTTATATGGACTTTGAGGGGTTTGACAAAGAGGCCCTGCAAGCCTATGTGGTGGATAGTGATACAATTGATACAGGTGAGGGCCAATAATCTGCCCTCTGCCTCGGAACCAACCCCCTATCCTGTGTGCCCAGCCATCTTTTCTACTAATGTAAGTGTTAAAAAAACTAATATTATTGATATTTCTCTTAATTATTAATTGTGTGTGCATACCATCATAAAATTAAGATGTAATTTTTACTACAACGTAGGTATTGTGTCTGAAAAAGTGGAGTTTGGGGGTCGGGCCAGTCTCTATTGGAATTAATCCCATATGTTCTGTTGTTCACTTTACGCGGTTTTCACTTTCCGCGGTACCCCATGGTTTCAATTGACCGCGTAAATTTGGTACTACTGTATATACTGTATACTCCTGAACATGCTAATTAAGGATCTGTTATCTGCAATTTGATTTCTGTATAATTACTTGTCCGATGACATCTCATCTATAGCAAGAACCTTTTTCATTTTTTGACAGACTTAGTTCAAGATGCAGCCTCAAAAGGATTAGGTGTTGTGTATGAATGTTGTTCTGAAGCTACGAGACAGTCCATGGTGGAAGGACTTGTTCAGACCTTGACAGAAGGAAAACGCACCATCCAAAATGTTACAGATGACACAAAGATCTTTCAAGAAGGAGAGATGGGCAAGGCTCCCTCTGGGTATGTTACCATTTGTTGTTCATTGAACCCTTTAGATTCTTTCCAGTCTGTAAGCAACAGTGATGCTGTTGTTTGCAGTGGAATCTTCTTAAAACAATTGTAATATTCATATTTATTTGTGTAGTAATTGAGTCATAGATTTATATTGAATTTAATGTGTGTTTCAGTTCTCTCAGTACAAAGTATCATAATTTGTATCTTTTAGATTGTTAAATAGAAGTTTTGTTACACTTTACTTTGTTGTTTAAAACTTGGTATCATTTCCTTTTTATTAATTTCTAATTGTGATTAAAATTAAATTTTCTTGTGAGACACATTTTTACAATCATTAACTAAGACTAGAGAGGTTATCCTTTGGAATACTGAGATAAAATTAAAATACTGTAAAGGTAAATTGAATAATTTGCCAAGAATATATATTACAAGATGGGGATTTCATAATGAAATATTTTTTGAGCTTCCAATTACCCCGATGATCCATCGTCATGTGCTATATAACCCTAGAAGCAGACATCACTTGACAGAAGCCTGAGAGTTTCGAAAATAAGTTTATTAAAATATAAATAAGAAGGAAATACAAAAAACAAGGCTTTTAGACATTTTATCCCCACCAACAATAGTACTGAATGTCTAGCAAGATGTTCTTACTTCCATCTTCCTGATAACAATTTAAACAATGGCTGTATGGAGTGGAAATGTATGGCAGGATGGCAGTGGATCCTCTAGTTATTCCCTATAACAGCTGGTCAGCACTAACTCCTCCCACTATTCAGAGAAAGTACCACCACACACACACACACGCATCCATGCACACACACACACACACACACACACACGCACACACACACACACACACACACACACACACACACACACACACACACACACACACACACACTCTGAGGTCTTGAAACATGTTAGGTGTGGGCATTTGTAGGGACTAGGCGTGTTCCTTTGGATGGTTGAAAGACTTAGGCCAACATTAAATTTCATTATGCATTGACAAAATTTTCTTTGTACTGTAAAGAAAAAAGAATTTATTTATTTATTTTTTCAGAGGACAACTGTCAACGTATCGCGAGTTGTGTTCCTTGGCAACAGACCTCAATCAGCCTGATCTTATTTACAAGTTCATGAATCTTGCAAACCATAACTCTGTTTGGAATTCTAGAAAGGTAATGCATTCAAAAGCTTATATTTAGGTTAATAAAGTGTTTTTAAAGACAAATATAAAATTTGTGAGAAGGAAGGGTGAAAAAACTGAGAGGACAACTGGAAACAGCAGGTAAGGCTGAGAGAAAGAATACTATACTGTACAGTCAAACCCCGAGTACTGGACTAATTAAGCTTGATCACAATGTGTGTATTTGTATGTCATGAGAAAACAGGCATATATGCACTTAGTAATAGCCACATGGAGACCGAGTACAGCGTGGCTGAGTTGTTATAATGAGTGCGGGACTGTGTGGTCCACGTCTCGTGGCTCCACAAGAGCAATGACTACCCCCGGTAGTAAGATTTTTATTTTTATTTTTTCAATTTTGTAAATAATTTTTTTCAAGATTCGTGTCGTTATTCAGACGTGTCAGTACTAAGGTGGTCATGTACTTGGGGTTTTTACTGTACTGTACTTTAGAAAAAATGGTAAAGACAAGGGAGGTTGAGAGTATATTTTGAACAATATTTATATGTCATAATTGGAAAGGAAGGAGAGTTATCCTGTTTGGGATGGGGAGGAATGAGAACTGTTCAGTTAAAATAAGAAAAATTATGAGTGTCTTTCTCTCAAATGTCAATACAGTACTGTACTTTTAATACCATATATATTTCAGGGAGCTGCCTTTGGTTTTGGGACTCTAGCATCACAAGCTGGTTCCCAACTGGAACCTTATCTTCCCCAAATTGTTCCTAAGCTATATAGGTACCAGCACGACCCTACACCGAAGATCCAGCAACCCATGGCTGCTATATGGAATGCTCTAGTCACTGATAATGCAAAAACTGTAAGTATTGTCTGCTAACATTTTCTTCTTGAAAAATATATCAGAATGTATATCATAGTTGAAAGTCCCTGTGATGGTTGTTCTATAGTCTTGGTAGAATGTTTATAAAGGTGATTTTCAACTTAAGGGCATGGCATAATTATTGATGTCTTAGATATTTTAAATGTGTTCAATTGTTTCAAGGGTCATAAATTAACACTACAGTACCGAGTAAATTTTTTAAATTCTGAACCCAGATCCTTAATCATCATGTAAAAAACTTCCTTTATATGAAATCTGAACAAAACCTGTCATGATCTCATCTGCCGAAACAAAAGAAACTGGTCGGGCGTTTTGGGGACGACTTACGGCATTTTTCTGGAAAGTGAAAACTAATGTGGTTAAATGTTATAGTCTTGAGCAGATGTATATAAAAGTGATTCAGAACTAATGTGTAAAGCATAACTGACATTTTAAAGAAGGTCGTGAAAAACAATTGTTTCAAAAAGTACATTGTTACTGTATAAAAAAAATAATTTTTTTGTTTAATGAATTTAAAGTACAGTATAGCTAGATTACAATTTGATTGGATTCTGTTTCATTTAGCAGGTTCAGTACATATAATTTTTATTTAAAAAAATAGCATTTATTTTGTTTTGTATTTTTCCAATAAATTATATCTTATTTAAATGACTTATGATTTGTTCTTTTATAAAGTTTGATAATAATTTACCCTTCTTACAATAAATTTTGTCATGCAGCCTAGAAAGTTGTAGTTAAGAATAACTGGCGACAAACGAGGGGAAGCTCTATGATGGACATGGTTGCCGTCACCCTGTCATATAACAGAAGAGGACTTTCAGAATTTGAGATATCTGTCATGTGTGTTTCCACTTCAATCATGTAAACATTTTAGTTTCATATATTCTTTTGAAGTTTATTTTCTTTACAGATTGAAAAGTATTATGACCCCATCCTGTGTGACCTCATCACCAACTTGACTCACAGTTCTTGGAGAGTGCGTGAGTCATCTTGTCATGCTCTCACAGATCTATTAAGGAGACAGCCGGCCTCAAAAGCATTACACCGAATCACTGAAATATGGACAATACTCTTTAGAGTTCGGGATGATATTAAGGAATCTGTCAGACAAGCAGCCGAGAAAACATTACAAGCATTGAGTAAAAGTTGCATTAAGGTAATACAGTCCTGTTGTTGTATGTGATGAAGTAGATGAGCACCAACTGTGTCTACTTAATGTTGTACTAATCAGAACCTTTCACTCTCTACTCTTGTCTAATATTACTTTGAGTTCATTCTGCATCTTGATCTGTCTCACACAAAAGTGAAAGAGGAATAAAGGTATTATCTTTCATTAAAACTTGTGAATGAATATCTTAGCCCATTAGAGTATGTTTTTGTGGCCAAAAATAAACACAAGGTGTTCCAAACCTGATTTAATAAGCACTGAATATGATACATAATAGAATACATGAATAAATACAGTAGAACATAGAGGGGAGGGAGGGAATTTTCTGCTCAGTTCAGTCCAGCTGTAAGGGGGCAGGTTTTTCTATATATCCTATTTCATATATTTATTCTCTTCAATACTTAAAAAACTTATATTCTTGTGCATAAAAATTAATAATTTTATATTTTGAGTCTTTCAATGGGATATTGGGTAATTGGTTCCAGCTCACAGAAAAGTACATACAAAGTAAAAAAAATGCAGTAAAGTACACTTACTTTGAGGTGTGTATGTAGAAGGCTCCTGGTTGATGATGACGATGGGAATTAGAAGTGGGGGTGGAGGAGAAGGGAGAAGAGAAGGAAGTGGGGATGGAGGAGAAGGGAGAAGAGAAGGAAGTGGGGATGGAGGAGAAATCACCTTTCTGGGGACCCATACTTGATGCAGAAATTTCTCCAATAAAATTTTAAAATCACTAGGTGTAATTCAAGATTATTTTATTTAAATCAACACTGCACTGAGCTATATATATTATCAATATGATAACTAAATTTCAGAATGACCAATAATTTTAATGTAAAAATGCAAAAATATTCAAGACACCAACAAAATCGATGTTCACTCCACTGTAAACAAAGCTAAACTGACGCCTGGTAGATGAGTGAAGGGGCTGATGGGCGCACAAAAAACTAGTTCCCTGTACTGCATATATTATCAATATGTTAACTAAATTTTAAAATGACTAAAAATTTTAATATAAAAAATGCAAAAATATTAAAGAGCACAACTTTCTTGATATTTACTCCACTGGAAATGAATGTAAACTTAGAACAGATCACTGAATTGGCGGACTAGCCCATCAGCTGATCAGCTGATGCTCACAACAAAACGTGTTTGTCGTAAGGATTTCGTTAATCGAAGTTTTGTTCGTTAACCGAATTGAGGATCCTTATGGGAGGTAATTCGTTAATCGAACCGTTTGTTAACCGAGGGACCATTTTATTTATCTTATATTTCTTTGCTTCTATTTTCTAAGTCAGTATTCTTTTCTTTACTTCATTTCTTCTTTCATATATATTATTGTATTTTCTGAGTTTTGTCCTTACTTTCTCTCAATTATATCCTATTTTAGTTATTTTTTAAACCATGGATTAATCTGGGAAACCATGTCATTCTTATTACAACACTTATTATACTTACAACGGTAGCCTGCCACCACCCAGACTTTTATTAGAATATAACATATCTCATTGAACTGTTTGGTGGCGTGCTAGCGAGCTTCTAGGCACATGAGTTACATTAGTTATTTTCTGAGAACCAATGGGTAGAAGGAACAGAGCGGTGATACTCATAGTTTACTAATTCAATATTTATTAACATGAGTGAACAAGATGTTAATTAAGTACACTCAGATAGGGCTGGACCACTTAGGTCTTACTTTATCATTCATAAAATAGATCTTCAATTACTTATTACATCATTAAACAACTGTTAAAGTATTTCTTTGACAAATAAGATGGTTATTTTACACGCTCAGATAGGACTGGACCCTTAGGTCTTACTTTTAAAAGTAGCAAAATAAATCTTCAATTCTTGGTAACAACATTAAACAATCATCATATTATTTCATTGCCAATACAGTTGGTTCAATGACACACTTGACAATATCCCAAATTAACTTATTTATAACATCATGTTATTTCGGAATGAACAACATGGCACTTTACCTTCAGTTGATGTACTCAACGCACATAACATATTTACAGATACTATCAATATTTATGGGTTCACTACCCAACATGGGATAATTATATTTCTCCTAATTATCCCCTATCATATACAACAATAATACTTTGGCCCACATAACTGCAAGGAGTGCCGAGGGTGTAACACTGGTGTCACCACAACAAACGAAGAGCGCTGTTAGGGTCGGTTGGAGTCCGATACACTGCGAGGGAGTTCAGGCCAAGTTCCCAGGGTGCGGACTCGCACAATTTAATCGTGCCAAAGCCAGCCAGTTGGTATGCAGCTACCGGTCCCCCCGGTGACTGTTGGGTATTCAGCTAACACACACAAAGTGCCTGAGATGTGTCAAAAATAACTCGATCACAAGCAATCTTTCGTCTAGCAACGACACACGATATTTACGTTACATTAATTCTTTCACTGGGTAAATGACAATTTCACTGTTACAACATGAACACTTATATTCACAAAATTCACCTAGTTAAACTGATTTAATGTGGCGGGCATGGGAACATACACATACCTATGATAATGATAAAGCAGCGTCAGAGATGTGACGCTACTCCTTGGGCACGAGTTTATATACGGCTAACTGGCAACTCAGGCCTGTGCGCTACCCATGCCAGAAAGGCTAATCACGCAATGACAGAAATTACATTCTACTCAGTTGCTAAACATTTAACTATGAAACTCAATGCCATGGGTCAGGCAAATTTCTTAAGTCTATTTTTATAATCTAATCAGAGATTGGGCTTGCCAGGAAAAAGTGGAATTGACGTCAAATACACACGCTGTTAACACTAGTTCTCCCAACATAAGCGGAATTTCTAGACAAGGACCCTCTATGGGTATACGTTGAGATCTTGGAGATAAGGAGTTTGACATGTTCTTTCAGGAGAATAACGGCTTTCTTGAATAGACAACTGACACTAACTAAACTACAAACATCAGATTCTCTGATGTTTGGGTATCAAAATGGGATGCCATTCGTACTGGCAGACTCGACACTCACTTACTTAACCAATGTTACTAACAAGAAAGACAGTTAAAGCTTTCAACATCACTCACAAAGGATCTTGAATGCTTTAACTGTAATCAAACATATCTAAGTTGACTCAAAACATTGGTGTCCTCTCTCACATTCACATTTACTTTATAGAGAGGTTGGTTTCAGGAAGTCAGAGAAAATGGACAGCACCTAAGCTAGGGAGCGATGAGAAAACGGACGCCTCAGATGGGAGACTCGGTAAAGAAGGCATAGCTACATGTTTTGTGGGCTATTGAGCGCAATATGAATTGTCTGATTTTACGTTAACTGACGTGTACGACCGTGGTCATTACACAGCTACTCTACCTCCCACCTCTGCCACACAGAATACACTTTCCACTCTTCATTTTTCTTATTTTATAGTTTTATATTATATTTTTTTTTTATTTCTAAGTCACATCAGAATGTTGAAATGATATTTCCAGAATTTTTATGGTTTCTTATATAAATAAACACTTCAGCTTTCAGCCAAGAATTATGAATGTTCTGACCGCAAGAAAAACAAATTAAACACACAGGTACATTACCTGTGAATTGTAAGAAGATGAATTAGTATTTTGGGAATTATCGCGACTCCACTGTGCTGTTGATAGTGTAGTGGATGCAAAATAGTTGTTAGTGTGGTCATAGACAAAGGCTATGAGCTACCCCTCAAAAACAAACCCGGGCAATGCTGGTTTCCCTAACTAGTATAAAATACTTATGTTTACAGTAGTGTTCAAGTTTATGACTGTGTTTTGAGCAAAATGTATTCATCTTTCATACTATTGTGACACTTAGGTTTAGCATACATTATACTGCATACCCTGATTTACTCATAAGATAGTTTAATATGTATTTCAAAACAAATTAAAAGGAGACATATCTTTCAGGTATGTGAAGGTACTGGCGAGGAAAGTGAGGAGATGCTCAAAGAAGTTCTTCCCACTTTGCTAACATCAGGCATTACCAGCACTGTGTCTGAAGTAAGAAGTGTGAGCCTACAAACTGTCTCCAAGTTGTGCCGCTCTGGAGGGTCATTAGTCAGGCCACACCTTGGCACTCTAGTCCCTGCACTCTTGGAGGCTCTCTCGGGACTTGAATCTCAAGCTCTGAGCTACACTTCTGTGAGGCTAAATGATGATGACCGAGAGAAGTTGGACATAGCAAGAGTTGCTGCAGCTCGTAGCACACCCATGATGGACACACTTAACTATGTCTTACAATTTGTAGATGAAAGTTCATTGGAAAAATTAGTTGGAGGTTTGGTAGATGTTCTCAAGAGCTCTGTTGGTCTCACTAGTCGTGCAGGTGCTGCTCATGTTGTGGAGACACTGACCCACACTTGCCCAGCACCCTTGGAAAAGTACACAGGGAAGCTCTTGGCTGCTCTAGTTAATGGTCTGAGTGATAGAAATGCTGTGGTACGGAAAGTATATGCCAATGCTATAGGCAATCTTGTTAAAACTGCTAAAGCTTCAAGTGTTGAAAAGATCCTCACTAAGTTACAAACTTGGTACCTGGAGAAGGAAGATGATAGTGTCAGGATGAGTGGTGCTCTTACCATTCGCAGTATGCATGCTCAAAATAGTGATATAATGAAACAACATGCCTGCCAAGCAATGCCATTGGCATTTTTAGCTATGCATGCTGAGAAAACTATTGAAGGTGACCCAGGTGGTGTTGAAATTTGGGATGAAATTTGGTCTGATAACACTCCTGGAACAGAATCTGCAGTGAGACTTTATTTAAATGAGATTATTTTGATTTGTGAACAAGCTTTACAAAATTCAAATTGGGCAATGAAAGCTCAGGCTGGCAGAGCCTTGTCAACAGTGTCTCAGAAACTTGGGCCAAGTATGAACGATGCTCTTGTCACGTCCTTGGTCACGCTTCTTATCAATAGTCTTCAAGGAAGAACGTGGATTGGAAAAGAATCCCTTGTAACAGCACTCTCAAATGTAGCAATGCATACTAAGTCTATTCTTAGCGCCTTGAAATACCCAGATAGAGATGAACTATTGGTAGAGGATGTGGTAAAAGTTCTTACACGTGAAGCCAGCAAGGAAAAGATGGAATACAAGATACATGCCATCAAAGCCCTCACAACTGTCCTTGACAAGTACCAGATTGACAGATTTGAACAAGTGTTTAACATTTGTCTTCCATACTTGACACATGTGAGTATTAGAGGTCATTTATTGTGATATATTCACGTTCTTATTTTTACTGATGCTTTTGTGAACTGCAGGGTATATTCGAGATACAGTGTACTGTACTTAATTTTTTTAATTTACCATACCTTATGGAAATGGAAATATGGATATAAAACAACAGGAATAGAAAATGTTCAGTTGCTTCGACAGCATCTCATCCTAGAGGAACACCCAGAGTATTGTGTGACTCAGCTTCCATGTTCAACTGTCTTCCACTTTACAACTCCAGTTCACTCAGATGGCCATCACTCCTCTATGTGTCTATTCATTCTGTTTCAGATATCAGTGAGGAGTTCCCCCTTATCCCTGTTCTTGTCCAGTATACTCTTACTTTTATATGGTTAAATTGGGGGGATGCCTGATGCCAGTACAAGACAAGAGCATACATCTTTTATGACTTAAAGGCTTGAAACAGAGGATAGGAGGGATTCAAATTGATCACCCAGTTGCCTGTGATGTAAGAATACACACACAAGTTTGGATAAAAAAATTCATTTGTCACTTGATGACTGAAGCAGTACTGTTCAGTGCCAGTACAGTATTCATATCTTAATGCATTTATCATAAATTGTGTAACTCCTTGGATGGTGAGCTTGGATTTTATTACTGATACATTTACAGTAGAGTACAGTACAGTACAGGGTATTTTCATCTCAGACCTTGTTAGCTTGATTTGGGATCTTAGGTTCAGTGGTACCTTTCCACCATTTAACCGGTAATAACTTGTGTTTATGGTCTTTGGGTGCAAACATAATGCGCATATGTGCCTCATATATTGGTTTGGTGGTCCCATAAGCCAATGAACCTATATTATAACTTTTTTTAGTTTACAAAATTCACTTGGTTGCTAACCAGGTAGTCCTAAAGGTGCATGAGGTAAAGAGACTCTAATGCCAATAGTGTAAATTACTCCTGGTGATGTAAATCAATCAATTCTTTTATATCATTTTGCCAGGTTTTCCCTGATTTATGAAAGGGTTGCATTCCAGAAAAGCCTTTTGTAAATCAAAACACATTTTCCCATAGACTCCCATTATAAAAGCTGAGATAACTTAAAAAAAAATACACAAATATCATAATAAGGCAGTATAGTACACAATATGTGACTGTAAACAGTTTTGACAGACAATCGAGTTTCCCGGGAAACTAAGGCACAGGTCAGCTGGGTGACCAACATCATCTGAGCCTTCTAGAATTTTTTGTTTTGGGATAAAGGATTCCCAACCTGTATCAGTAAACAAGAATGAATAGTTTAGGTAAAAAAATAAGACGGGAAAAAAAGTTATGCAAATATATATTGTTTGCTTTTCAGTGGATATTCTTTCCAGTTTTTGAAAGATTAAATAGTGAATTTTCCCTCCTCAGGATAAGCAAGAACAAGAGGATGCAGATGATGTGGAACGCAACAAAAAAGAAGAATCATTGCGGTGGGACCTAATCGATGAGATGGTACACTCATTAGGGCGTGCCTGGCCCCTCACCAAGGACACCCAAGGTTGAGTATTATTCCCATAACCTGTCATTGTCTGATATTAACATTTGATGGAAGGATGAATGTGATGTTCTTTGTCACGAGCTATTGTGTAGTGTTAATAAAGGAGGAACCCAGATTACTCGGAGAAAACCTGTAATCTTTTGTAAGATCACCCTGGATAATACCTTTCTTACATGTGACCAGGGAGGAGGATTGAACCCAGTACAGCAGGTTATATTACATCTCTGCCCAGTGATATCCAGGTACAGTATATTCTGACCTAGACCATTTTACCATAAACCCCTGGTATAAACTAACTGACTGCCATATATCACCCCAGGGGCTAATCTGGCTTCGGCTATTTTACACTCCTTGAGACCAGAATTAACCTAAAATAGTGATAGATCAATCATATGTTTAAAGTACTGTACAGAAGTTAATAGCACCAATAATATAGATAGTCAGTGTAGGAATAATACTGTAATGTGAAGAAACTTAAAATAAATTGTAATATTTTATTTCAGAAAAATACAGTGAACAAGTAGTAGAGATGTTGAACAACAGTGCGTCACGTGTTCCCCGTAAGACACAGCTGAGCATCGTGGGAGCACTGAAACATTTCTGGGGTCGACATTTTCTCTTGCAAGAGCTTCCTGGATCCTTAGGAACACCTCTCTTTGACCCTCTCTTACACCACTCCTGCAAAATATTTAATTATTGTTTAGGTAATATAATTTTTCTGTTTTGATGACTTGAATTAAATATCCTGGAGATGCAGTAAGTATACATTATACTGCAAATTCTGCTGAACTATATATTTCAACTCTACATAATTTTCTCTTCTAATTAATTCAGAAAAATATTTTTTTTAGGTGTTGCCAAGTTTTATAGCCTTCGAAGAGAATCCCTTGTCGTATTGAATGAATTCCTGGAAAAGGTAAAGGGTAAGTAAAATGCTTCAGTATCAGAGTGCATGCTACTGTACACAACAGGTTTTATTATACCACTATTATCCACCAGAAGGTTAGGATAGACACAAAGGCAGAACATCCTATTCTGTTGGTTTTCTTTGTACAGTATTAGAAAAACTGTACTACAGTATCCTCGTTTTCGTATTTCGAGAGCTAGAGCCATAATGAACCTTCAGTCAATAAAGTTAACCTGTACAGTACTACATTATAATTTAGAATGAAATTATTGTTTTCCATAAAAAGATGGTCCTTAAATTGGTTTTATGTGTAATCTTATTTTTGTCTTCGGGAAGATTTTCCCTTATAGAAACATATCTCCCAATATACCGGTACTGTACTGTACTGTATAATGAAAATTAATAGGAAAATCATTTTTGATCTGATGAAATTTGGTTTACAAAAGTTTTCAGAAAAGCATCCCTTTATAAATCCAGGGATTCCTGTACTTTTATATGTAACAACCACGAGAGGCTCATGTTTGTTTGTTTGTATGTATAAATACAGTTGTTATGAGAGGTTCTCTTGTGGTCTTATGTATAATTAAAATAGTGCTTTTAAGATGCATAGCACTAACGTCTAACACCATGGTCTTTTGTGTAGTGATGTGTATGTACAGTACAGTATTTGAAATTAGAGTTTGTACCTGTACACTGTACATGATATCCAACTTGGTCAGCTGTCAAGCATGATCAGTTCTTGACACATTCTGAACAAAAGATAAATCTGATGCCCAGCTTTGAAGAATTAAACTCACATACAGAATTGGTCCTGTACTAGCCACTTGTATTTTTAAAGGCACTTAGTAATGATAATAATATTTCAATATGTACTGTACTGTATCTTAATATAATACAGGTATATTTTTTACATACAGTCTGCGAGACATTGGTGGTACGACTTCGCATGGAGCTCTTGTCTGGTGTTGAGGAGGCACGGAGAGATGCACAACCCGATGTTCAGGCCCTGGCTGCCTCAGCCCATCGGATGCTTCTTTTAGAATCCAGAGATTGAAGAAACAACACTGAAATATAACATGTGAGATTCAGTAATCTGCGGAGTGTTCATTAATTTATCCATAATTAACCATTATATATACAGTACTGTATACAATGCTGTTTCATTATACAATAATGCTCATTTTTACCATAAACCAAAAAAATAATAATTAATAAAATTCATACTTTGAATCATGCAGCATGTAAAAGTCTCATCTTTTCTCTGAGCCAAGAATTCAACCAAGTAAGAGTCACTTGGCCAATTGGCAGCCGCCTCTGCCAGTTTTTAACTTCCAATACAATATTTTTTTTAATCTATATATACGTAGTAAATAACTTGCCATAAAGTATTTTGTTTAAGCTCAGATAATAGAAATTAGACAAGTTTTAATATCTAGTATGGGTATGTTGTTAGCTATGCACTATAAACTATATATAATCATTGTTTTTTGTAATAATGGAATTTTCTTGTATTCAAAAAGTAAATAAATTAAGATACTGTACATGTTTTATGGCTACATTGTGTTTAAAGTATACTGTGGAGTTATAAGTGTACTCCATGGTGTCATCAGGAAGTAGTGCAGGGTAAGGCTTTCATAGATATCAGATGCAAATAGTATGAACTGTTATTAATAATGCATCTACTGTACTTGCATCTTAACTTGTTTGATAATTTATTAGCTTTCTTTGTAATACTGCATTTTCCTTCTCTTACCTCTTGTGCTGGAAGCTTCTTGAATCCGGGTCACAGTCAACACAGTAGTGACAGCTGGCCTACACTTACTATCAATACATAGTTACAACACCTGTAGATAAATGGGCCTTAAAACACCAGCCTTACCAATTAAACTTTTGTTTTGGGGAAGTGTCACTTACCAAAAGTTAAATTTACATTTCCCTTTCTTTCATTATGTACTTTCACATTTACAATTCTTGAAATAGCAGAGAACAGCATTGTTTAAATAAAGTATATGTTGCTACATTTTTACCTTCATCCACCAGCAATACTGTACCATATGTGAGTGTTTACTCCTGCACAAAGATTTGTGTGGGAAGTAATGTAAAGTATTGTAAGCTCTATAGTACAGTACTATGCAGGATTGACAGAATAACTGAAACACTCCAAAATTTCAGTATAAAATAATTATAGTTAATAATTGGGGTTGCAAAATATATACAGTACTGTATATACAGTATATCTATATATTTTTACCCAAAACACTTTTGCTCTTGAAATTGCAAATAAAAGTGATGAATGACTTTGGAACAGGTATAGCCATAATAATAGAAAAAACTAACAGACAATTTACCAGAGGTGTGTAATTTTGGTTGCAAAACAACTGAAAATTTTCCAAGGGTTTTTAGGACACCAGCTCTAGGCTACGGAGGTATGATCATTAATTGGCTTTAAATTGGGCCTTGAAAAGACTATCAAGAACAAGGCGGGATCTACTGAGATATTGGACAATGGGGTGTATTTAAGAATGTGGAGCCCATTTTAGTGATTTCAACCCTAACATACTGTAATATGGGTAAAAATCACCAACAATAATGCATGAGCTTCGCAAGGTATTTTCTTTGGGGGTCAGGGACTTCGGAAAAGGCAGTAGTGGTGTGTGTGTGTGTGTGAGAGATTTACAAATTCCACTACCATTACATTTTTAACCCGACGTAACCTAACCTAACCTAACCTTCATTGGATACTTTTCATATGGCTTAACTATTAGCCAAGAATATTATTGTTGGTGATCTCTGCCCATATTATGATTGGGCTGAGGTCACCACTGAATGTGGGTTGAAGTTACCATAGACCGACTTCACTGGCACCAGTAAACACATTTCCCTAGGAAGTGTATAAACCTAGCAGAGGCAGGTGCATCAGTCGAGTAGTAATCGGTGTTCATTCACATTGTAAAAATGTACACGTTTTTATAATTTAGTTCTGTTTCTCTCTTGAAAATAGTACAGTGCAGTAGTGTGTTACCAACAATTTACATATAGAACAGTATAGTATTCAGACCTACTACTGTACTGTATTTCCAAAATTCAGAAAAATTCTAAACCTGGTTTGTTTCCAATTCCAAACTTGCTAGATAATCAATTTACTGTACTCTCTGTATACATATACATGCACTATACAGTACTGTAGTTGTTGCAAAGTAATAGGCAGTGTTAGGAAAAGAAAAAAAATCCCATAATTCTCACTTACCCTGGTCCTGTTCTGTACTTTATAAAGTTTTATACTTTTAAAGAAAATATTACAGTACTGTATAGTTGATCACAACACAAGAGTTAGTCCCATAATACTGATGTTTTGTTGGGGTAGTGTAGTTACAGTACACTGAATGTTCAACCTCTGGTATGCAAGGAAGGCATTAAGGTCAGATACCCATTCACAGCTGTGTTGACTGGAGGTGCCCTTAGCACAAACCAGTTATCCTCAGGACAGGAAGCAAGCAGTTATCAGCTTGGCCACTGTACCACGTAATTATAACATTAAAATGAAAATAGTTCCCATAGACCTGCCAGTCCATTACAACGTTTGGATACAACATGGTGCATACTAAACTTTCATTACATAAAGAGGCAGTCTGACCAACACTGCACTCAATTGGCTTTCTTCCCTTAAAGTAATATTAGGTATCCATTTACAGCTAAATGGTCTGGGAGTGTCCAGGGATCAAACCAGCAACCATTAGGACAGGAGGCAAGAGCAGCATCCACTCCACCGCTTCACCCCATCAGTACGGCATAAGGCACTTCAAATGTTCTGTATACCTATGTGAAATAAGATTGTTTGAGGTCTGTTGTAAGTAATACATTTTTACTAAATTACAGACACCCTAGTGAGACAAAGAACTTTAAACTCAAATTTAACATTTGATGATCAAATTATAATTATTTATTGAGGAATAGAAATTTTTTTGCAAATGAGGGAATAAAAATCCTTTGAACACAAGGTTCACGAGAGATGATTAAGATACAAATGCTGTAATTGTGAAAGCCAGTTAAGCATGTCCTATACTACAGTATTAATATTTGTACACAAATCACTCTTAAGCTTTCTCTTTGTATAGATTGCAAAGTGTTCTGATAGGTATGAACTAAGTTAACAAATAATTACTCAAAATTTGTTTCTTCACAAACCTCTTTGATTACTGGAACTTATATTGATCATTACCTGTACAGCATTAAACTGAAAATGGTTGTCAAGACAGCACCTCGGTCAGGAAGAAAGTGTTATGGTCTTATAGTCCTTCGGTCTTGCAGTTGCCATGACAACATGCTTGCTATATATGAGGCCCCCCCCAAATCATAACTTGCGCCAAAATTTGAAACCAATTAAACCGCGTTTAAAATTTTTTGCAACTGCATAACTTTGTTGTTTTAATAGATGGAGCATTCATTTTTTATGCATTTTGAAGCTAAAGGACTGGACTTGCAGATGGTAGGTAGCGTGTCATGAAGTAATGTACTGGGTTGTTGCAATGTTGAATTGAAGCAACAAAACCCCCACCCGCTTATGGCTTTTTTTACTTTAATCGATATCACAGTGTAGATCCCGCCACAACAAAAGAGAACCGAGGGAGGGATTCTACGCTCATTAGCTGGAGGGGCCATGACGTAGATAGCAGATTCTCACTGTCATTGGCCGAGACGGGGAGGAGGCTGCTGGCCGTCCGCCCGCTCCTCTCACTCACTGACGGGAAGAGAGCACTTGACTGTGCGAATGCCAAGCCCTGGAGCCCATACTTTTCTGTCTGCCACAAATCGATGTTACACCCTATTTTCAAAGGGCTTTCAACCTTATTTACAGTCTAGTAAGGAGATCTTATCCACTATCATCGTATAGAGCTCGGCCGAAAATTGTGCTTTTCCAACAAAAAACGGGTTTTGCCCGGATGGTCTGAACGCACCTTACGATGCGGGGGGCCTCATATTATACTGTAATATTCTTTGGTACATTCATCTAACTCTGTGACCTCTTATGATTGAAAATAGATGCATATTAACTACCGTAACTCATTGGTTGATAAAACATTAGTCAAAAAGCTCTTACTTGCCATTATTAAATCCTCGGCTAAAAAATACTGCTAAATTTATGCAAAATAGTTTAATGAGAAAAATCATGCACATAGTTATAAAGTTATAAATCCATTTAGGTTTACTACACTTACTTTAAAAAATTCACACCCTTGTGCAAAGAGTAACGCCCAGAGTTTTAACTGCCCGCTTTCATTGACGGGTCATTGTGTTTGCAACCAGTTTAAACAAATTGAGTCGCAAAGGACACTGCACTACAGTGTTTGATGGGGAGGTGTGCTGGTAAAATGAACCAATTCCGATATTATTAGTTAATTTTACTCCACGCCTCCCTGTCAGGCACTGAAGTGCAGTGTCCTTTGTGACTCAATTTTTTAAACTGGTTGTAAACACGATGACCCCCATCAGCGGGAGAGGGTGATTATAACTCGGGGCGTAAGTGTCACTGTGTAAATTCATAAGATTTGGTAAACTAATTTCATCATCTAATCAATTGCCATTCTTCAGTTAGTGATTAAAGGGAATGATGGAAGAAACACATGTCTCATTTTTATCCCTATATTAGGACAGTACAGTTAACCCTCACTTCACGCGGTCCCGCATTCCGCGTTTCCACGTTAACGCGGTGCCTTGCCAGAACCTCACGTGCTCACATTACGCGGTACGTGAACCCCATTACGCGGAGAGTGTCCGGCGCGACGCTATTTTTAGATTCGCCCCACCCGCCACCCGCCCGCCTGCCTGCCTGCCTCTCCCTCCTCCTCCCTCTGCTTGGGCAAGCGGCGCGGTAAGGTTGCGCAGTGTGTGTCTTTGTTGCGTTATCACTGACGTCATATGACGTATCAGACCTGTGATTGGCCATGCATCCCTACCCCCCTCTGCTGCTAGCTGTAATTGGCTTAAAGTATTATGACGTGTCCACCCGGGGGAGGGAGGGAGGGAGGAAAGACGACGCTTGACCTAGCCGCGGCAGTTTCATCCCTCAAGGCCACTCCGTGTAAACGCGCATCCATTGTTCCGTAAAATGGCTTCCGCCGGACCACCACCCCCAGAGAGAAACCTTTCCTTACCTGGACCCAGCGGCACTAAACCAAAGAAGACACGACGTTCCTTAAGCTACGAGGTGAAGTATAGCATCATCCAAGAGTTGGAGAAAGGAACAAGGCAGGTTGATTTGGCGCGCCAGCATGGCGTGAACGAATCTACGATCCGGACTATAAAGAAGGATTCAGCCAAGATAAAGGAGCACATGAAGATCACAAAGTCTACAGGTGCTTCTATGATCAAGTATTTTCACAACCAGGTGCTTCTCAAGACAGAAAAATTACTTGTGAGGTACTTGGTGCGTCAGGCGCGACGGAACATGGCGGTCGACACGCGCTCTGTTAAGGACTACGCACGTGAACTGTACATGGCAGTGGCACGAAAGATGGGAACTTCAGAGCCCAAACCCTTTAATGCTTCCTCTGGGTGGTTACAGAGGTTTAAGATCCGGAACAAGATCACCAATATAAACATTGGTGGTGAAGAAGCGAGTGCTGATCGTGCTGCGGCTCGGGAATTTCCTCCGTTTTTACGTGAGATTATGGAGGAAGGACAGTACAGTGACGACCAGGTGTTTAACATGGACGAATCTGGTCTTTTCTGGAAAAAACTACCTTCCAAGTCCTTCGTTGTGAAGAATGCCAGCAGGATTCGGGGCCGGAAAATGCAGAAGGAACGCATCACCGTCCTGTTTACCACCAATGCCTCCGGTACCTGTAAGCTCAAGTTATCGGTGATCCACACAGCCCGCAAGCCGCACGCCTACAAGAGCATGGACATGACCAAGCTAAATGTCCACTGGCTGACAACACGTAAGGCATGGATGTTCTCTACACTGTCCCTCTCCTGGTTTGATGACTGTTTGATGACAGAATGTCCCATTTAATATTTTGTTGCTGCTGGACAACGCACCAGGACACTCGCCCCTACTGTTAGATCGTCACCCCAACGTAAAAGTGGTCTTCCTTCCTCCCAACACTACGTCTTTAATCCAGCCCATGGACCAGGAGTTGATTTGCAATGTGAAAGCTGCATTCTCAACAAAAAAATTCCAGCTCCTGAACGACTACACCAACACCAGGGAAGAGTTGCGTAACCTGAGTGACACCACCACCGATAGCAAGAGCGAAGAAGATGAGGATCAACAGTTAGAACAGCAAAAAATACTCTTCAAACAATTCTGGAGAGTATTTAACATCAAGAAAGCTGTGGACTTCTTGGTGGAGTCATGGGATCAGCTGTCTATTGCTACAATTCGTCACGCATGGAGACATGTGTTGCATGGAATACCAGGTGAGAGGAGGAGTCAATCTGTGACTGGTGAGGTTCAGAATGTTGCAGTAGCAGTGGACCTTGCCAGAGAAGCTGCGCAGACTGTTACAGTTCCAGGCTTCTCCGAGACCACCAATGACGACATCCTGGAGGTGATCAGAGATCCTGAAGTGACTGCCGACGAGATGTTGGAAGAAGAACACGTCAGTGAAGAGGAGGAAGAAGGTGCGTCAGTCTCCGAAGAACACAATTTAAGTCATAGTGATATTAAGGGTGCCATGGAGTGTGCAGAGAAGATGAAGTCCTTCCTTTCCCGCGACAATGACGATGACCGCTATGAAGTCTTCCATAACCGGCTGGTGCAGGCTATGGAGCCGTACATCAAGGTGTATCACGACAACATCAACGCCAGCCGTCAGCAAAGCATAACAGATTTCTTCGCCCGCAACCCACCACAGCCAGCCCAAGCCAGTGATAGTGACAGTGAAGATGACTTTGAGGGATTTGTCAGGGAAGCCCTGACAACTGTAAGTGACAGTGATGGTGATTCACCTAGTAATGGTGATTCACCTGAGGGCCAGTAATCTGCCCTCTGCCTCGGAACCAGCCTCCATCCCCGTATGCCGACCCATCTCTTCTACTACCGTAAGTTACACCTAATTTTTAGTTTTCTAACCTTACCTTTATTTTTCCTATGTTAACCTTTATCTTTCCTAACCTAACCTCTTCTATATTATTTGTTTTTTCATACCATCATAAAGTTAAGATAAAATTTTTACTACAACATAGTTGTGTGTCGTCAAAAAGTGGAGTTTGGGGATCGGCCCGGACTCCATTTCAATTAATCCCATATGTTATGTTATTCACTTTACGCGTTCCTCACTTTCCGCGGTACCCTCCGGGTTACATTAACCGCGTAAAGTGAGGGTTAACTGTACTGTTGTGTTGTGAGGTTCACCTTGCTTTGGTCAAAACCCATCTCTAAATATCATACAGTACTGTACTGAACCTAAATATTACATTATAAAATTACCTTGGAAGTAAGTTGTCAGTATTTTAAATTTTACATGACTCAAAATTCAGAAAATTATCAGTAATCTTACTTTGTTTCTTATCTTTTTGGTTCTCTCATTACTTTATACTTTGTTTCTCAGCCAATGATAACTCAGCATTGAGCACACAGTGCATTCTCAGCCAGTTAAAGCAAAGCATCTCTTCCTACCACATATACTCTTTGTTTCACATTTGTGTGCAGCCCCAGAGCGAGAATATACACTGTTTTTTATGATCTCTGTCTTCAGCAGCAAGGCCAACAACACTTCTCCTTGGCTATACTGTATGCTACCTATACAGTATTTGAACATGGTGTTCACTTGCAAAGCAGTTGTTGGGACAACTTATTTAAAATGAAAAGCATTTCATGCCTACCCAATTAAACAAGAGGTGATGTCTCACTTCAAATTGCCTTCAAAATATGCAATAAATAATAAACTGTATTCGTTCGCATAAAATAAAGGTTTATATTCCATATTACATGTACAGTAGCTAAAACAACTATCTGTGCATACTTTGTGGGAACCATATGAGACCATGGACGACAAATTTGGGTATATGAGGGCTGTCACTAGTCACACGTAAAATTTCGGAGCATATCGACCTCCACCTGCACAGATAGATGTTTTAGCTACTATACATAGTGTAGTATATATTCATTAAATAAATTAAGTTAATTATTTACACCATTAAGGTGATAATGTATTTGCCAGCATTGGATAGCTAAATGTAAATACCGGTAGGTGAGTGTAAACGCTGTGCACCCATCTCGCCATTCTCATTTCAGCTCTGTCCCAGTGTGGGCGTGGAGCATAATATGAATTATTAGGTGTTAAACAGACTAGCTATGCTATTGTGACTGTGACACCAGCAACTATCACAGGGCCATCATATCAAGCCAGGACCCATAGCAGAGCATTGTCTGTAGTGACCTCTTCTCTGTCTGTTTTGTTCTGCATTTCACATTTTTTAGAGCTGTAGTTTGTAAATTAGCATAAAGTAGTTTGAGTAAAGTATCTGTATTTATACAGAAATTCACCTGAGACTACAAATAAAGAGTTAGCCCTCAAATTTTTTTTTTTATCAAATGGTGGATGTTGGCAAGTGGGCACATAACCAACTTTCTGGGGAACCCATCTTCTTATACATACAGTATACTGGTTTCACTCACACCAGTTTTGTTAACATTTGTCTTTACAAGAGCACAACCCCCAGTATAAATGAAGACAATCTGTATGCTTGCATCATGAGATTGCGAGTCTGATTGGTTAAAATTTTTAAATTGAAAGGAAAAGCATTTCCTCTTTGTCCAATCATGTGTTCATTCGTCCCATATTCCATATCTGTTCAATAACAATTGAATCACTAAAGGGATTTTTATGATTACTAACAGTAAAGGTTAATTTAAAAATGATGGTGTAACAGTTACAACTCCCAGATCCCTATCATAAAGGTCATTGGTGATTTGTTATGGTTGAGCAACACTCGAACAATAAGTACAAAATGATAAGATTATTCTAACCTGCCTGAGCCAGTTGTTATCTGGAGCAGTGGTAATGAGGACTCAAGATAAAGTGAGATTCCACAGGGAACTACAAGTCCTTCCAAGAAGTATTTTTGAGGTCCCTATTGGGAAAGTAATGTAATATGTACTACACTACTGAAAGTGGATTTTGGGGATTTACAAGTACTGCAGTAGGTAGTTGAAAAAATAGAAATTGGCAGGGTAGTCTTGTGTGTGTCCATCAATCCATCTGTCTGTCCTTCCTTCCTTCCTTCCAGTTACAGTACTAGTTTAAGCCAATAGAAAGTAGTATAAGCGACTAGAAACTAGTACGTACAGACTTCAAGGAAATTGTGGAAACGGCTAGTTTTGGCAAGTATTAGTTGATAGAGGTACCAAGGAAATAGTACATGTTACTAGTTGGTGGTGGAAGAAACAAGCAACAAGTACATACTATAGTACCATAGCGCAGGTGGATGTAACAGAAGTAGTACTAGCTGTCAGGGATCTTGTACAGGCTACTAGCAGATGGCAGAGAAGAGAATGTACTGGTAGAGGCTACTAGGAAGTGGTAGTGATAGCAAGAAACAAGTACAAAAAATGTAAAGTGGTGGTGGTAGCAAGGATCAAGTAGAGGTTGTCAGGTGGTGGTAGCAAGTGTCT